GGACCCGAGCACTGACTGTGAGAAGGCCCTATTGTAATTGAAGGAATTCTTTTTAGGGCCCGAGCACTGACCGTGCGAAGGCCCTATTGTATCTGTAAAGGTTATTATTAGGGCTCGATCACTGACCAGTGCGAAAGCCCTATTATAATTGTTATAATTATTATAAGGGCCCAAGCACAAATCGTGCGAAGACCCTATTGAATCTGTAGGAATTATTAGGGCCCGAGCACTGACCGTGCGAAGGCCCTATTGTAATTGGAGGAATTATTTTTATTTTTCAACCCAAACAAATGCATATTTGGAGGCTTTCCCATGTTCGAAAACTCATGAAACACGGCGCACCTGTCAGTCGTGGCAAAAAATTTCGGATTTTCTAAGGGTCCACTATGAGCATAGCAAAAGGGGCCCTCATGGGTCCATAAACTGTACCACCCGGGGCCCCTTTCACCGATATGCATAAAAAGCGGCACACGCCTAGATCTTATCCAGACAAACAAAAAATTCAGTGGGCGCCATATCCCAAACCCAACAGGAAGTCGGCCATTTTGGATTTAGCGGCCATTTTTGGTGATTTGCACATGTTGTATTTGAACAAATTGTGCTATAACTTGAGTGTACATTATACAATCGGCTCCAAATTTCACTTGCCTGATAAGAATCCCACCCTGAACACAGGGAATCTGAATCTTCTGAATCTGAATTTGCGTGGAACCATGTTGCCATGGCGATGCGGTGAAAATCAGCTTTTGTGTCAACATTTGAACACTTTTTGGGGGGCTAAACATGCCCGAATACTCATGAAACTTTGCACAAAATTCAGTCGTGGCAAAGGCTAAGGCATTGTCTTAGTCCCGTAGATGGGCGTCGCAAAATGGCTTAGCCACGCCCCCCAGAATCAGCCCCAAGACAAGTACCAAAACTGGTACGCATGTGTATCATGATCGGACAAGGAAAAAAGCCTCTTGGACCCATAACCCAAACCCAACAAGAAGTCGGCCATTTTGTATTTGAACGAACTCCTCCCAGGGAATTTATGGGACCAACTTCAAAAGTGGTACAGTTAAAACATAAAGCTGATTAAAATTTGTGCTATTTGTGACTGTATGTTGAAGGGTGTGTCTGTGGCATGGCGTCGAAGTCGGCCATTTTGAATTTTGCAGCCATTTTCAGCGGATTTTTGCGTTGTATTTGAAATAACTCCTCTGACGGAACTTATCAGATCAACTTCAAAATTGGTCAGTACAGTCAGAAAACATTGCTGATTAAATATTGTGCTATTTGTGACTGTATGTTGAAGGGCGTGTCCGTGGCTTTCCGTCAAAGTTGGCCATTTTGAACTCTGTGGTCATTTTCGGTGACTTTTTCTTGTTTTATTTTAACAAACTCCTCCTAGGGAATATATCGAAGAAGTGCTGCATGGCAACTTTGATCTGATTTATGTGAATTTTTGAACGCGTAAGTCTATTGCACTGTGTCTGAAATGCGTGGCGACGTAAAGTGGTCTCCCACGGCTCCAAACGATGAGGGCTTGGGCGTGGGGTGTGGTGCGGCTGCAGTGGGCGACCGCCGTGCAGGCCCCGATGTAAGTTGATGGTGAGGTCCTGCCCAATGCTGCTTACAGCTTTAATAAGGGACCGAGCCAGTATCCACTGGGAGGTCCCTATTGTTTTTGCTCGAACTATTAGGGTTCGAGCCAGTATCCACTGGGAGGTCCCTATTGTTTTTGATTGCATTTTTGACCCCCTGAACATATATGAAAGCACAATTTTATTTGGCAAAGTGGTCAGGCCTGGTGAAAAATTGGATATTCTATGTGTCGCTTTTTGGTCGGCCACTAGGTGGTGCTACTATTAAGAAAAGTATTTTTGGCTAATAACTCCTGCATCGTTTGTTGCACATTCAAAAGCCTTATATCCACGCGTTCGGTGAATGGAGCTGCATCTCCTCATATAGGCCACGCCCATTTCCGCCTAGAATTTTTTTCCGTAAACTACTTTTTTGTGTTCCTCCTATGCAGTTTGTTTGATTGGCACGAAACCTTTCACGTAGCATCTGGGGACTGTCCTGGTAAAAAAAAGTAATTTGAAGAATTTTGCTATTTCAAAAAACAAGAACCTTTTAAAATTTGTGACTGTATGTTGAAGGGTGTGTCCGTGTGTACGGTTCGCAGTGAAGAGTCTCGCTATGAACGCAAAAGGATCTGAAACCCGTGACAATGTAGAGTGGTCTCCCTCACCTTCCAGCGATGAGGGCTTGGGCGTGGGGCGACGTGGCGTGGCACGGCTGTCGCGGGCGACCGCTGTGCAGGCCCTGACGTAGGTTGGTGGCGAGGTCCCGCCCAATGCTGCTTGCAGCTTTAATTAGGGACCGAGCCAGCGACCGCTGGAAGGTCCCTATTGTTTTTGGCCGTTTATTATTATTCTTCATAGCCCTTTTGACTGCATTTTTGACCCCCTGAACGTAAACTTTGCGTGAATTTTATTTGGCAAATTTGTCGGGCCTAATAACTCCCGCATCGTTTGTCTCACATTCAAAAACCTTATATCCACGCGTTCGGTGAATGGAGCTGAATCTCCCTATATAGGCCACCTCCGCCTAGATTTTTTTTCCGCTGGAGCGCAAAATGTCCAAAAACTATGTTTTCGTGTTCCATCCATGCACTTTTGTCCGATTCGCACGAAACTTTGGACGTAGCATCTGGAGACCGTCCTGATTTAAAGTATTTTGATATTTAAAAAAATAAGCAAGTTATTAAATTAGCACTTCCTGTTGATTTTTCGTCAAAAAAGGAAGTTGGGCATTTCTCCACATTGGTATGTCCGATTGACACCAAACTTGCGTCAATAGTTTATTATGTCTTCATTATGCCTCGTACACAATTTCAGGTCATCACCACAAGGTGGCGCTCTTTAAAATGAAGAAGTTTATATCTCCGCAACGGCAAGTGTGATGATTGCCCATGGCTCCCTGAAGCTCCCCTAAAATACCACCGGTTGGCGCTCTGGTGGAAGATAATTAGCTGTGCGGAGACTGTAATAGTTATGAATAAGAAATTCACAGGACACGTGTAGACTGGTGCCTGTAGCTCACATACCAAAAATCGCGTTTGTAGCGCCCCCTACAGGATTTTAAAAAGCAGTGAAAACTCGGTAGGCATGTGTAACGTGTCGAGACGTACAAAAAAGCCTCTTGGACCCATGCAAAATGGTCAAAAAATGGTGCTGAATGAACGCTATTCATTTTTTGACTGTACGTTGAATAGTGTGTCTGTGGCGTGCCGTCAAAGTTGGCCATTTTAAAGTCTGTGGTCATTTTCGGTGAATTTTCGTCTTGAGTTTGAACGGTTTTATCGGATCTACATCAAAATTAGTCAGTACAGTCAAAAGATTTTGCTGAATGAACGCTGTTCTTTTTGTGACTATACGTTGAAGGGCGTGTCCGTGGCGTGCCGTCAAAGTTGGCCATTTTGAATCGAATGTCAAACTGTGATGTCATTATTGGCATTTCAGGGCTTCTATTTTAACTAACTCCTCCTACAGGTTTTATTGGATCTACTTCAAAATTGGTCAGTGCAGTCAAAAAATGGTGCTGAATGAACGCTGTTCATTTTTTTACTGTATGTTGAAGGGCGTGTCTGTGGCGTGCCGTCAAAGTCAGCCACTGTGATCTACAGAGAACTGAACTCCTACAGATTTTATCATATTGACTTCATATTCCATCACTGCAATCTAGACACATTGGTGATCATAAGTTAATCAAATATTTACTGTGCATCAAACTGTGTGTCCGTGGCATGGCGCTGCATTTCCAAGTTTCTCAGTGAAGAGTCTCTCTATGAAAGCTCAAGTCTTTTGTGGTGTCTGAAACGCATGACAACGTAGAGTGGTCTCACTCAGCTTCTGGCGATGAGAGCTTGGGAGTGGGGTGACGTGAAAATTTCATGTTGTGGTCTGCACGTGTTACGACGGCACATGACGCGGCCGCACCACGCCCCGAGTTGCGTGGAGCGCGAGGTCCCGCCCAACGCTGCTTGCAGCTTTAATTATACTCTTAATTGTTACCATTACTGCAGCCTCCTCTGCTAGTGTCTTAATACCACTTTTCTATGGTATCTCCTGAATTCTGCATTATGCATTGTGTGTGTTTGCGTGTGTTTGTGTGTGTATGTGTGTGTGTGTGTGTGTGTGTGTTCGTGTGTATGCAGTAATCCACCTGATGAACAAGTTGAACAAAAAGACAGTACTGCGGATGACTCTGGCTGTGCGACTCTCCTCATTTTGTGACCGAGACAGCGTCAGCCCATCATCCATGTGACCCTCATGGTGCATGATGGCCTGAAATAAGAAAGAAAGTTGATGATATGAAGATGATTATTTTCACATTTTCTGCATCTTTTGATTATTTACATGCACTGAGAGCATTTGTCTGCATTTATACATTTATAGATGATTATTCAGTTTGGGGTATTAGTCATGACAAATGTACACAGGTGAATTTTTATGTAACTAAAATTACATTAAGGCTTAAAGTTATGCATAATGTGTATGCATGGCCGCTTTGAGTGACAGGTTTTCAGGCTGAGTATTATATTTATTATAGTAAAGATGCTATGTATAGAAACTACTGTTTGCATTTGTTTGTGATGTATGATGTTAGTAATGGAAATATTTTCTGAATACTTTTCTTACTTGTAGTACTTGAAGTACATTAAAGTGCTCCTCCTATGAGATAACATTACCAGCAGTTTGAGTTTAAGACCCCTGCTCTAATGTTGCAAAAGGGTCATAAACTCTAGTGTTAACTTCTTAATTGGATGTCACTTGTAATGTCCCATCTTGTCAACTCCTTATATACAGTACAAAGCATGGACTGCATAGAGGAGGTGCAGTTTGGTTTATTGCAGTAAGGTTTGTTTACCTTTCTCTGTACTCCACCCATGCGTGCACACTTGGCATCAACAGTCTGGTAGGTGAGCCACAGGCAGGTGTCAACATGTTGGATGTAACACACAGAGTCACCATACTTAATGTCAGGAACACCCATCCCATCCACCTCCTTCTTCACACCAGGGTCCAACTTTTCCTGAAGGACAGAGAAAGGAAGATACAAACTGAATACTGCAATTAATACTGATTAAATGTTACATGACCCACCTTGTAACTAGGAGTGACTTCTTAGATTCCAAATCAATTTCTTTTTGTTGAAATGCTCAGAACGCTTCAAAACTAGGTCCTAAAAAGTTTGGCCCCCAAAAAATGTTCAAATGTTAACAGAAAAGCTGATTTTCACAGTGATGCCATGGCAATATGGTTCCACACAAATTGTTAAGATTCATAAGATCTCATCATCATCGTCCTAAGGGACCGCTGACAGAAATTCAGCTGGATCTGGTCAATCTGCTGGAAGATATACATAAAAGTATAAAGAGGACATTTCCTTTCACCACTAGGTAGCGCTCTCACTATTAGTGAATATTATCACATAGATGCGTTCAGCACGGGACTCTTATCAGACAATTGAAGTTTGGAGCAGATTGGACAATGTACACTCAAGTTATAGCAAGCTTGTGTTTTGTGGCGGTACATCAAAATTTAACACCACGCCACAGACACGCCCCCCAAGTACATTTCAGCTGGATCTGATCATCCTGCTAGGAGTAGAACATGTATACAAGTATAAAATGTGATACTTCATGTTGCCACTAGGTGGCGCTCTCACAATTACTGAATATTATCACATAGAAGTGTTCAGGGCGGGACTCTTATCAAACATGTGAGGTTTCGTTGCAGTTGGATTATGTACGCAGAAGTTATGACAAATCCCTCTTTCATGGCGAAGGTTCGAAATTTGGACGCCACAGGACGCCAAGCCATGTCCACGGTGTTTGACGGAATGTCATAAATTGCACAAATTTTAATCGTGAATGTCTTTAGATGGCTGTGTTCAAGTGTGAAGTCCATCCGATAAATTCCCTAGGAGGAGTTCGTTAAAAGAAAACGTGTGTAAATCGCAATAAATGACCGCTTAATCCAAAATGGCCGACTTCCTGTTTAGTTTGGGGTATGGGTCCAAGAGGCTTTTCTGCTTGTCCAATCATGATACACATGCGCACCAATTTTCGTACATGTCGGTCTTACGCATCTTGGGGGCTGATTCTGAGGCTTAGCCATTTGGCGGCGCCCGCACACGGGGACAATTGCATACGTCGAGTTCTTGAACGATCGAATTGTGTGCACATTTTCCTAACTTTTCGAGCATGCTGCGACCTCCAAATATGCAGTCGAAGACACAGACAATAATAATTCCTAGAGATACAATAGGGCCTTCGCACGATTTGTGCTCGGGCCCTAATTATATAATTATCATGGATATTAGAGTCCTAGGGTTATTGTACAATGCAGTTAACTGTGGCCTGTGGGTAGATCACAACATATTGTACAATAGAGAGAATTTTCCTCCTGTTATGAATGTATAATGCATCATGGCCTTCACTGACAGTGTTGTGTGTACCTTGGAAGACCTGAAGCAGAAGGCAGTAGACTTGACATCAGCTTTCTCTTTTTCCATCAGCAGCAGAGATTTGTCTTCTATCAAACTCAGATACTTCCCTGTGGTCACATGTCTCAGTCTGAATGGTTGTCCCCAGCGGATATGACTCCCACTCCATCTGGATACAAATACAGTCATAAATAAAAAGACATAAATACTAAACACACACACGAAGAATCATAAATAAAAACATATAACTGCAAAAATCAAAACAACCTAGGTAGGATTAAATGTGGGTGATTTAAAAAAATACATATATTAACATGCACACTGAATTAAATTCCCTTAGAGGATCAGTGTGTAGGATTTAGAGGCATGTAGTGGTGACGTTGCAACCAACTGAATACAGCTTGCCTTCAAAGTGTGTAGAAGAAACTACAGTGGCTGGGAAATCCCTAACTCCTCTATCCTCTGTTCTGTGAATTCTACCTTTTTAAGAAAGTCTTCAAAGTTCAAAGTTGATATATTTCCCATTGTTCACACTGTGGCTTGCTGTTGCAATTATATACTTAACTTTGAAACTGATAATGCACCATGCCACAAAGCAGAAATTGTTCAGGAAACGTTTGAGGAACACAACGAGTTCAAGGTGTTGACTTGGCCTCCTCCCCAGATCTCAATCCAATCAAGCATCTGTGGGATGTGCTGGACAAACAAGTCGGATCCATGGAGGCCCCACCTCACAACTTACAGGACTTAAAGGATCTGCTGCTAACATGTTAGTGCCAGATAACACAGCACATCTTCAGGGGTCTATTGGAATCCATGCCTCGACGGGTCAGGGATGTTTTGGTGACAAAAGGGGGACCTACACAATATTAGGCGGGCTGTCATAATGTTATAGCTGATCATTTTTTTGTAATAAGGTACACCTATCAGCCATAACATTATGACAACCTGGGCATGCTAACTGATCTGCAGCTACGCAGACCCATACGCAACACACGGCGATGCACTGTGTGTCCTGACACCGTTCTATCTGAATCAGCATCAACCTTTCAGCAATTTGAGCTACAGTAGCTTGCGTGTTAGATCAGACCTCACAGGCCAGCCTTCGCTCCTGACGTGCGTAACCGAGACTTGGCTGCCCATGACCCAGTTGCCGGTTCACCGCTTTTCCAATTTTGATAGGTACTGACCACTGCAAACCAGGAACACCCCACAGCGACTACCTGGTGTAATTCTAGAGCCAGTATCTGGTTTGTCCAATCTGGGCTACTGTAGAAACATGGTAGTTCAACATGACGTATTCTGTAGAAAAGGATTGGCTCCCTCTGTAGTAAAGCTGGGTGATAAATCATTAAATCAATTAATTTGAATTTACCTTTTAAAACGATGCAAAAATGGGTAAATTGTAAAGTCGAGATTGAAACTACAAATGTTATTATGTGGGAATATACAGCTGCTAAAACAAGGGGCACCAGTTAGAAGACATTACAGTGTGCTGGTGTTTCAAATGGCCAAAGACAGGCATTTTTTATGTGACTGTACACTAATGTAAATGTAAATGTGTAAATGTTACACACTTGACCTTTAAACCTGCACTAATGGACATTTAATTTACATTATATAAGCCATGGATCAAATGACTACGTGTATTTTCAAAGTAAAAAGGGTCAGCAAACTTTTAAATAAATAAATAAAAATAATTCCAGGTTAGGTCAGAAATGTATGACACACATTTTACTTGATAAAATGTGAAAAAAATTTTTATTGGGTGTGAAATAGCAACACATTGTTTCAATTCCATATAATTCTATGTCAAAGGCAGAAGTAGTCACAGGATAGGAACTAAAGAGATGGTAGAAAGGTAGTTGTCTACCCTTGGACTATGTCAGTGTTGTCTTTACAGCTTGTTCTGCTGCCCCAAGTGGCCAAAATATAATTATTGCAGTATTAAATGATGTCTATGAAAGTATAAACTAAGTGTAAAATATGTTGCAGAAGCTAAATTAGGACCCTGAAGGTTAATTTTCATTCACTCCAGCAGACAGGCCTATGCAGTTAAGTCACAGATGTTCATAGCACAGATTCAGCAAAGTAACAGCAGCCAGACTTCAACCTGTTTGGGATGTTTTTTTTCCAAGATATGTGAGCCATATGTCAAAAAGAATCTACAGTTTGTGATTTGATCACCCAAAGGGGGCATTTGGGTGTTATACTGCTTATGAAAAAAGGCAAAATGTAAATAAATGATATTTACTATGAGGATAACTATGAATAAAAACATTTATTCATAAAGTAGTTTCAAATGGACCTGTACTTGAATCTATATTCAGTTGATTGCAATTTAAACATTTCTGAGAATTCTTTAACACTGAAGGCATTGCAAACCTAAACTGGAGTCGCCAACTTGAATGTAGAGTAGTCAATCAAGGTTTGTGGAGGTGTAATATGTAAATAGTATATTGAAATATTAACCCTGCTATCACATGGTCAAATCTTGCCAGGCTATATGTTTGTGTCTAACCACAGTAGTTCAGACCAATTAGCGTCCTATGAGGAACTACTGGCACCTATGGCCTAAAGCTAAAGGCGTGGTTTAACACCAAGTGTCACGACTTGTGCGAGAAGTGACTGCTCAAAAACAACAATGGCAGCACTGGAGAGTACTAAGCAATAAACAGTACTGAAGGCTGCATGTAAGTGGCTTCTGTAAGAGTTGACTACATTATATGGTCCATTGATCTGATTGGTTGAAGTGTGCTGTGATAGATGGTGATAGATTGTTTATCCAATCACCTACAGAGTATTTTTTTGAAAGTTCCTCCCCTTTTGCAAAAACTAAGACTTCCCCGATGGTTCTGTGTAACAAACCATCGGGCAATGTCAGGTTACTGAAATATGTTTTTCAATGTGTGACAGAAAAACAAATACATAAGTTTTACTATTATCAATATCACTCTTCCATCACTGAAATATGGAGTATAACTGAAAAAGAACATACCCTCCAAATGTACACAAAAAATATGAAATATGGCAATCAATTGGTCATCTTAGGCATCAAGGAGCTGCTGCCTGGTTACCAACCTGGAACCATGTTTGAAACTTACTGTCAGGCTCTGTTGCTGCTGTTACTTTGCAACTATTGCAGCCATTAAAAGGATGTTGACGCACACACTGTGAGTAAAAGTTGTAATATTTTTTAACCATTACTCTATCACCCTACTGCCCACAGTACTAGCAATCCATGCTATTTACACAGTGAGGAATCCCCAGCAGTGGCTGCAAACAGAAAAAAAGCTTGACAAAAGCTAAAAAACTGACAGCATATGCAAAATGTATTCAAAACAACACATCTGTACAAACAGTACTAATCTGTTTGTGTGTGTGTATATATATGTGTGTGATGTAACTATGTGAAAGTGCATGTCTGCTAGTGTTTATTTGTGAATCTACTTGTTTGTTGTATGCATGCACAGTATGGGCTCTATCTTGCACTCAGCGCAATTGACTTTGTACACTGGCGCTTGTATAATTCCTATTTTGCATTCGACGCACATTAGAATTTTCCCTTCACCGACGCACGTCCTTAAATTAGGGAATGAACTTGCGCTCCGGGGGGCGGTTCAGCGAAAAGAGGAGGCGTGTTCCGGCGCAAACGTTCCCTGGTGCTATTTTGCGGTTTCAGAAAACAATTCCGCCACAGACCAGGAAAAACCTAGTCTAAAGTCAGTGGTGCTTATTCAGATGCTATTTTAAGGGCGCAGACTTGAGGAGATGTGCCTGAGAGGCAGCAGCAACATCGCCACCCGGTCAAGACGGGCATTAATACTTTGCCGCAGCCCGGACAGCTCCCGCTCCAGCATGTCAAACCCGGTTTGCTGCAGGAACGGGTGGTCCTCCGGCGTATAGTGGGTCTGGATCCTCTGCACCTTGGTGTTTGCGCTGCTCCCTCCTCAGCTGGCCCTTGCGCACTGCTCGGCCAGGGTCTTCTTCCTGCGAAGCTGCGTTACATTGTTTGATTTATTGTATGGCTGCGTTACATTTATTTCATGTCAATAATGTCACTTCTCGGTATTTTACGGCCCTGACGAGAATGTCGGTCTCCTCAGTTGTGAACCGCTCCTGGCGTGCGCCTGGCAAATCCGTCGTTATAATAGCAATCCGCCATGGAATGGCGCCGGCGACAACGGCAGCCTGTCATGGCAGCTCCTTTCATTGTTGTAGTTTTAGTGTGTTTTTGCTATTTTGAACTCTTTTCTTACTTTCTTACTTTCTTACTACTTTGTTCACGTCGCCTAAATACTTTTTTGGCGTTTTTGAGCACTTTTTATTTTTTGTTTACGCTGGTCTCCATGGCGACGGGGAGTCGCATTGTTTTCACCCGTGATCAGATGATCGCCCTGAGGCCCCCTAGCATCCTGACTGGAGAGAGACCCTCCATACCGGAGGAGCTGAGGAGACGGTGAGGCTGCAGAGCGGGGGTTAAACGGAGGATGAAGAAGAGGAGCTTTAAACTCTAAGTTACATCCCTGCAATCATCGAGCAGATACCGGACTCCAACGTCACCATTCCCGGCTTCCAGACGGTTCGAGCAGTCAGGGACACCACCGCGACCGGCATGAAGAAAGGAGGGGGACTGTCCGTGCTCATAAACAACAGGTGGTGTAACGCCGGGCACGTCTGTGTGAAAGAGCGTCTGCAGCCCGGACATCGAGCTCGTCGCCATCGGACTTCGTCCATGTTATCTGCCACGGGAACTTTCCAGTGTTGTCGCCATCACTGTCTATATTCCTCACAGTGGTCTTCATCATCATCATCACTGTTTACATTTATGATGTCTTATTTATTCTCCTGTACAGCACTTTGGTCAACTTTGGTTGTTTTTAAAGTGCTTAACAAATAAAGTTGGATTGGATTGAATGGGACAAGCGCGCCTGCTTTTAAAGGGAATGTGAGATGATGCTCTGATTGGTTTATTGCACGTTACGCCCAAACCACACCTATGACTAATGTAGCTACTTCAGACCAACCCGTTTTAGATTTGCGTCGGGCCCAAGAGTCATTTATCCCGTCGGCATAATAACAACAGCGCCCGAGATCCGCCCACAAAGCTACTTGCGTTTTGCGTTTGATACTTGCGCTTCAGATCGGCAAGATAGGGCCCTATGTGTATGTTATGTTGTACTTACAAGACCCGCAGTGTCTCCAGCCTCCACAGGGACCTGGCATGACTGGACACTGCTCCTCCCTCATAGTGCACTGTCCTGGGGGTAAAAATGAAATTATCACACTTTCAAACAAATAATATATCTTTTCCATACAACACTCTACATACACGCATTCTAGAAGTCACTTCTTCTGAAGCAGCTCAAGTTGCCCTTGAAGTACTGCTAGATATGCTTCTACCTTGATGACTTAGTAACTAATCTCAGCAGACAGTCAGGAGGAGAACACAGTCACTCTCATCGGCATTGTTTAACAACATGGCTGTCCCTTTTGGGAACATCTTAAAACTATAATTATTAATAGTCCTCCTTGTCTCAGTCACAGCAGAGAGCGCAGTCTGTAATGGGAGTTATGGGACTTTCTATTCCTGCAGGCTGGTAATTTCCTTACAAAAGAAGCTGAATACTGTTTGTCTAATAGTCTATAGTGAAGCCAAATTTAAAGTAAAGGAACCACAGAAAACTGTAAATTAACACTACTGACAAATGATACATAACATTAGATAGTTAATAACATTTAACACAGAACTTTTTAGTGTATAAAACTGATCAAAAAACAAGGCAAACCCGCTTTCTTTCTCTTGACATAAATTCCAATGTACACATGAAAATCCCATTAAAACAGAGAAAGTCATAAGTTCAAGCAATTTTATGAACTAATGGTTTTCATTACGGCAGATTTTAGGGGGAGCCCCCTCAGCAACTCTACTATTGTGCTTGCATCAGCTGTTTGCTGAATGCATGCTGCATTCATGCACAAATATATCCGACTTGGTGTCTCATAATACAGAAGAGCTGGAAAAGTTAAACAAAAATGGACACCTCACAATTACGCCTCACTCAAGCAACTCTGCAATCAAACAACTGTCTTGAGTTGTCAAATGACGTGAATGCTGCAAGTTGTAAACACAGGACTCTTTCTCATGTCTACTATCCATCCTGCATGGAATTAACATCATTGGCTTATTGTTGACAGTCACCTACCATGTGATTAGTAACACTGAATCACATATATGCCCAATGTGACCAGTGATGACATGTATAGCCGCATGTCGTCATTCCACCGCTGGCTGTCGAGGTGGTGTCCAGCAAACGATGTGGGCTTCATTGATAACTGGAAGCCTTTTTGGGGAAAACCTGGTCTGATTAGGAGAGACGGCATCCATCCCACTTTGGATGGAGCGGCTCTCTTATCTAGAAATATGGCGAAGTTTATTTCTAAAACCTGACAGTCCAGAGTTGGGACCAGGAAGCAGAGTTGCTGTCTTACACACTTCTCTGCACTTTCTTTAGAACAGTCACCCACCCAAAACCCCATAGAGACTGTGTCTGTCCCCCGACCACCTAAATTATTTAAAGAAATAAAAACAAGAGGAGTTAAACATAAAAATCTAATAAAAATTAAAACTAACTCCGCAGTAGCACAAAATAAGAGAATGAAATGTGGACTGTTAAATATCAGGTCAGTGTCCTCTAAAGCTGTTTTAGTGAATGAATTAATATCAGATTATGATATTGATTTACTTTGTCTTACTGATACCTGGTTGTCCCACGAGGAGTATGTTAGCCTAAATGAATCCACCCCCCCAGTCATATTAATACTCACATTCCTCGAGACACTGGCCAAGGAGGTGGAGTAGCAGCCATGTATGATTCGAGCGTTTTAATGGAGCCTAAACCTAAAGTAAATTATAATTAATTTGAAAGCCTTGTTCTTAGTCTTTCTCACCCATCCTGGAAAGCACTGCAGCCAGTTCTATTTGTTATAGTGTACCGTGCTCCAGGACCGTACTCTGATTTTCTATCTGAATTCTCTGAGTTTTTATCAAGTTTAGTCCTTAAATCAGATAAAGTAATTATTGTAGGTGATTTTAATATTCATGTGGATGTTGACAATGACAGCCTTAGTAACGCATTTATCTCATTAACAGACTCAATTGGCTTCTGTCAGAGTGTAAATAAACCAAGTCATTGTTTTAATCACATCTTGACCTTGTTCTATCATATGGCATTGATATTGAACATTTAATAGTCTTCCCACATAATCCTTTCCTATCTGACCATTATTTAATAACTCTTGAATTCATACTATTAGATTATAAGCCATTAGGCAAAACTTCCTACAGCAGATGTCTATCTGACAGTGCTGTAGCTAAATTTAAGGAGGAGATTCCATCAGTGTTTAACTCAATGCCATGTCTGAATTTAACAGAGTCCTATAATAACTTTAGTCCCTCCGAAATTGATAATAGAATTTAAAATTCTCCTCCTCACCTATAAAGCTCTTCATGGTCAGGCCCCTTCATATCGTAAAGAGCTCATAGTACCCTATTACCCCTCTGGAACACCACATTCTCTGAATGCTGGGCTACTTGTGGTTCCTATAGTCTCTAAAAGTAGAACAGGAGCCAGAGCCTTCAGTTACCAAGCTCCTCTCCTGTGGAACCAGCTTCCAGTTGTGGTTCGGGAGGCAGACACCCTCACCACATTCAAGAGTAGGCTTAAGACATTCCTCTTTGATAAAGCTTATAGTTAGGGCTGGATCAGGTGAGTCCTGAACCATCCCTTAGTTATGCTGCTATAGGCCTAGACTACCGGGGGATTTCCCATGGTGCACTGAGCTCCTCTCTTCCTCTCTTTTTCTGCACTCATTCATGTCCCATTAATGCATGTTACTAACTTCACTTCTTCCCTGGAGTTCTTGTGCTTTCTCGTCTCGCAGGTTCTTATCAATCCTGGTGGAGCCTCCTGCAATGGTCCTGCTAGATTGCCATTACCAATACTGTTATTGCTGTGCGTCTGTCTGTCTGTCTGTCTGTCTGTCTGTCTGTCTGTGTCTCTCTCTCTCTCTCTCTCTCTCTCTCTCCCTCTCTCTCCCTCTCTCTCTCTCTCTCCCCCCAACTGGTCAAGACAGACGACCACCCATCTAGAGCCGAAGGATCTGTCCTAAGTTTCAGCCTTTTAACAGGCAGTTTTTCCTTGCCCTTGTCGCCAAGTGCTTGCTCATGGTGGTACTGTTGGGTCTCTGTAAATGTTATAAGGAGTTCGGTCTAGACCTGCTCTATTTGAAAAGTGTCCTGAGATAACTTCTGTTATGAATTGGCGCTATACAAATAAAATTGAATTGAAAATTGAATTGAATTGAATATATACAAGTTTTCCCTCATGCATTGCCAACACTGTTTGCTGCTGCAGCTCCCTCCAATGGCCCACCACAAAGCTTTCGGGACTGTTGACTTGTATGTATGTTTAATCTATTAACGGACAGTCCATTTATTTTCTACACTCAGTCCAGACTACTGAATTTGCTTGATTTGCCAGAATTTTAACTATTATAGCCACCAGTTATCCAATATCACAGATATTAGGTTAAACTTACTTTTGTGTTTGTTTTTTAAAGATTATTTTGGGCTTTTATTGCCTTTGCTAGATGGAAGCAGCTGAAAAGAGTACATGGGGCACGTGCTTTTATCAGATGAGCTACGAGGGCGCCTCAATAAACTTGCTTTGTGATAGAGGCTCCTGGACTACCATTCTCAATTATGATCTGCTGAGAAACAGACAAAATACTTATTTTCCTTAATCTAAACTCATCTGTCAATATACCATGTCAAAAAAAGAATAAAATGCCTATATGGCTTTACATTACATGAAATTTTAATTGCAACTTCAAAGACTTGCAAAATCATGAGTATGTTGAGTTTTTGTCCACTTTGGTACTGAAGGATTATAAATTGTAGCCTCCTGGTTCTGGTACTGTGTGTCTGTATGAATGTGTATAACTGAATAACAGTAATGAAACAAGACTACATATAACCAATTCCCCTTTACAGTCTAATTTTATAATTTAGAAATGTTGGGCTTACAGTTCAGGTAGAAACGACTTCATAAACAACTAGATGAGACAAAATTGTTACTACAGTGACTGTGTTTAGCGAATAAATCAGTCCAGTTGTTATTATCAGTACACAGTACCTTCTCTGCTCGTCTCCATGCTCCCCAGATGGAACAGTTAGACACTCATCCATGTGACCGTGAAGGAGCCGCAAAACGTCCCCTCCTATCAGGAAACCTGCAGACAAGAGAGCAGAAAGGGAAAAGGGGGGAAGAAGCAAACAGGAGAAAAGAGAAAAAATTAAAGCAGAACAGGCAGAGGAGGGGTGAGAAAGAGAGGCAGACAGAACAGAAGGCCAGAGACAACACATGATTCATATGATAGAGAAGACACTATAGAGAGAAAGCCAGGTTTGCATAAAAACAGCAGAATTAGTACACATGATAACGTTCCTATACTTGAATTTAGAAACGTATCTGAGTATTCAGATTAACTGCACTGAGCAGACGTGGGAGTAGGGCAGCAGGGGTTAAGTGCAGCAGGGCAGTTACAGTATTAAACATGACATGGTTTCACATTTCTGAAACCAATCTGTTCACGAAGACAAGCAGAGCTGACTGCCAACATGAAGAACAGCTGTGTCTTCAAATCATGTCAATCGTGTCACAGATTTTGGGGAATTGTAGACCCTGACAGACATTGACAGGCAGTGCCCTAATTCAATACTACATATCAATTGACTCAGTAGTGTGTTTACACTGGAAAAGTGACTAAATGAAGTAAATAAAAGAAAAACTCAAGACAGACCAAAAAATTATTGATATATGGCTGTGCTGCTGATGTACACTGCATTTCACAAAGGAAATATCTGCAAAACATTAAAATAAATTGTGAATGGCAGTGAAACATCTACAGAATGAGGTTATACTAGTACATATACATTTTGTTTACATGTAAACACTACTGGATCAACCATTGTGTAAATTTGTGCAAAAACAAGAAGCAACAACAAAAGAATGTTGTAGGGTCAAAGGACACCTTTAAACATGAACTAATAATTATATTTATATATAATTATTATTCAAAATATTGAAACAGACAGACAGGTTTACCTTGTGCTACTTCACTGCCAGAACAGATTGGAGCCACACTCCACAGTGTCTGCTGGAAGGCTGCATCTACATGGAGACTTCCATTACCATAGGACAGATGCTGCAGGAAGAGAGACATAAGATCCAAAAATAAAAACTGACACACCAGACTGAAATACACACAAACACTAAGATTTTCCTGAATGTGAATATAAAAGCATAGAGTGCACCCAATGCTTCAAATCATGCAATTGGTCAGTACAAGGTCTGCAGTGCTTACAGTGATCTTTGATTTTGCATTCGATACAGGGAGCGATCAAAAGATGTACGGTCAGGAATAAGAAAGGGAGGCGATTGGTATAAAGAATAGACGGGCAGTGTTGTAAAATTACTCAGTTAAACAGTCTTGTATATGCAAACAGGCACAAGCAGGCATATGTTGGTCTACAGATTTGTAGATCCAGGGTTTAGAGAACTAATAACTAATAAGTCCAGGTTGCCGATTACACAACTGGGAACTCGAGTTTGCAACTTGAACTCCAGTCACACTTAAGTCACAAACACAGTGACTCTGACTCAATATTTGGTTCTTATCAAACTTATGCATCAGGTCAATTTCAATTTTTGCAATGATTGAGACATGTACTATGAATTTATACACTTTGGTATTTTAGGTACCAGAGCACATAAAAAGCATCAAAATAAAGGTTGTTTATCAAAAAAATCTACCCCGACTCCTCCTACAGAGCCAATGTCTTCAAATCCACACAGACGCTACTGACCAGATATCTTTCAGAGGAGACGCTGACCAGGATGAGATCATCCCCAACCCTAACCTTCTCTCCCTCTGACCGTTGCTTTGATGCTGGATGGATGGTCCACCAGCACGCCTCGCCTACACACACACACACAGAGAAAGGAAAAAAACACACATAAAAAACAAACAATAGCTTAGAATATATATAAGAAACCTGTCCATGACTCACAGACTCACAAAGCAACCTGTAATACTATCTACTGTATAACCTAAGCCTGTGTACCACTTTGGTAGCCTAGATTTGTCTTGCAGCTGTCATGCTTGCACTGTAATTTGCATCATCTTTACAGAAACAGGTCAAGAACAAGAACAGGGCAGACAGTATACTTTGTGTGGTTTATTGTTCTGACTTTGTTCTAAAGTGAAAACCACTATGAAGAAGCAGCAGAGAGCTGTACTACAAAGCAAGGTACCTGGCTTATCCAGGTTACTTCAGTAGTAACTCTGTGACGTCAAGTGTAACTTCCAGGTTAACTTGTATTACAAAAAGTGGATATATATCTAAACGGCTCCGAGCAGGTTATCTTCGTGGTTAACTCAATGTTAGTCTATTAACCACCTCTCCTCCGCCCACAATCTTGTGGAGAAAAATGCTGGCACATTTGGTAAACATTGAAGCACAGATTGTGAGAGGCTCACTGCAGGTTTTAAGAGACTATCAAAATCCTCTAGTTTTCTGAGTCTTTGAAAAGGGCCAAATTGTGATGGCTAGACGACTGGGTCAGAGAATCCTTAAAACAGCAGCAGCTCTTGTTGGGTGTTCCCGGTCTGCAGTGGTCAGTCATCAAAAGTGGTCCAAGGAAGAAAAAGCGGTGAACTAAATATACAGTCTAGGGTTTTGGATTCAATTTTTGACTTTAATAATATCCCTTCTCCTCTGACCTTTGCTCTCAACCAACTCCTGAGAAAAATATCGCTTCAGCTGCAACTGCTGAACTGTATTTGTCACAGAAATATTACACATATTCTTTATATAAAATGCTTAGTGCAGTTTTAAAACAAAGTTATCTAGGTTTGAATGAAGTTTGGCTACACAGCAGAAGTAAGGAACAAAAAAAAAAAATAAAAATAAATAAATAATAATAATAATAAGAGTTAGTTATGTTTTTTTATATCAATGTAATTCAAACTATATGATAATAGAAAGCCAGAAATGTCTTTGACTCCTACCTGTGGTATCTTCTTGCAGTCCAACATCAAAAGCCAGTTTGTCTGTGGATGAGCGGGAGGTGGACAGACAGCACAGGTACTAAACAGAGAAAAACAGTTAATTCAGTTAGTGAGATTAATGATATTTATTTGTCGGAGGACAGGCAATGTTAATATTACATGTCCTGGTCCTGCATATGTGTGTATATTCTACCCCCATCCCAGTAATAACTACAGCAATGGTTATATACTCTTTTTTTGCTTAATTATTGGTTCTACCATAATTTAGGTCTGGTATCTCTGTTAAAGTTCTTGCACAGAAAAAGCAGTGTATCCTGTAAAGGGCCGTCACACCAAGAACAATCACTATAACTGTACAAAAGGCTTTTATTTTGAAGGTGCGTTTAGGAGAAGTGACGTAATCACCCGTGGAGCAGTGAGCCGCACAACCTACAGCCGAGTCGCCGGACTCTTTTTCCTTTTTCTGCCTTTAACACCTGGACACACCTGTGGGGACTTTTAGTGTGTTTTCGCCTTTAACTAGGGTTGTTTTTGTTTGGACTGTGTTTTTATTGTGCTACTCCGAGTGTTAAGTGGATGCACGGAGTAAGTATCGTTTCTATATTGTGTTAATAACGACGCACCTCGTTAACTCTCATGTGTGCTTTTTCTGCCGATAGGTAACGGATGTCCGTTGTTTAACATTGTTTATGAATATAATGTGAATGCTGATGTTAGAGTGGTTTGAGGGTCCAGTGAGCTAGCAGTCGGTAACTTGACGTAGTTCAGATGGTTAATTGCTCAGCAGGGGGCCGACATGTGCGCCATGTGCCATCGTTTATTTAATACCCGGTTTAGCCAGTTGATGGAGCTATTGAACCAGTTAACCTATTATTATGGTTAATATGTATTTCTGTTGGGTTATTTATGTCATTATTATTCTTGTTGCACTTGTACAGGAGAGTTGTATATATCTGTCTGCTTATATAAACACATTTTTTATTATGGAGATGAAGGTGTATAATGTGATTTTTTATTATTATTATTATTATTATTATTATTATTATTTCCAGAACTGTGACAACACTGTGTTCAATAAATCACCGCAGTCATCAGAGCTGCCGGCAAAGAAGACATATCCTGTCCTCATTCCTGTGTCCTGACCGACACCACATCTTGTTTGCTGTATAACCCTAAACGAGCTAGCATTAGTCCTTCCCTCACAAACAATAACAATGTGAGCATCCACACTAATGAATGAGAACATGGGAACGGCCTCAGTGACTTCTCGCTCCAGCTGTGTCCGTAGCTTAATATGTTTGACAGTATGTCTCAGGTATAATGACATTTGTTGAATGGTTAATTCGCAGCCTAATATTATGTTATATGAGCGTTTAATAATTTGTATACCACGATATTTTCAAATTGCCCTGAAAGTGATTTGATTTTTGAAAAGATATATTTATAGTTAAAAATTTTGATTAGTTATAAATGTTACATGTGAGAAATTTAGACCTCATAACATGAACATTATTTTGTTCTTAAGTCATCAGTTCATTTATTTAACAGCTATACATGTTACTGTTTTGGGAAATAACTTCAGTGTACAGTGTACAATGTCCAATCTCCATTAAACTTCACATATTCTGTAACAGTCCCACCCTGAACACGTCCTCATAACATCAGTGTACATGGTCCAATCTCAATGAAACTTCACATGTTTGATAAAAGTCCCGCCCTGAACACGTCTACATGACAATATTCTGTTCATCGCTGCTTATAGTAGGGAGGTTAAGTGACTTTTGACTTCAAGTCATGATGCAAATGTCCCCTTTGGTATGGAAGTACCTTAGGGCCATAGAAATAAATTTATCCTAAGACACAAGTGAGATCACATTTTGTATCTTATATATGCACATTTTTTAAAAATGGCCGCCGACCATACTTGAGAGGCCCATATCTTTGCTTCTGTTATAGCTATAATGACAAATTTGGTATCAACGTGTACATATTTGGGGTCAAGGAGGCCAATAAAATAGGTTCCAAGACTAAAAAACAATAATTTTGTCCTTACCATGACAATTGGAGGTAAAGTATGCAATTTTTTATTAAAAAACGCATGCCAAACACACAGTCCATTCACAACTTAATAATAATTTAATAAATAACAACTTAGTGTTGAATATGTGTATTATTGATGCAAAGGAACTGATTAGTGAGACAACAAGTTCATAACTATGTTCACAGTTTAGAAGTAGGCAATGCCATACCTACAATGTTCTAGTGATGAAGACTAATAGTTTAGTGTAAATACATCACTAAGATGATTTTCTATTTAGATGTCTGCACCACTGTGGGAACATGAGCCACGACATCCACAGAGAGACATGCAAGGCAGCCTCTGCATGCAGCATTTGCAAGGTGCCTTACAGTCAGTCTTACACTTGCAAATGACAAGTTCTGGCAAGTCCTTTGAAATAGTGGCAGTTGTAGTGTAGACAGGAGTTGGTGGAGAGTCTGGGGAATCCTGCTGCCATCCCCATAGAGACGGCGATACTGTTGCATGGTCTTTGACAAGTGTATTGCCCCATACATGTCCACTCTAGAGAGAAACATGATTAGTGATACAAAGGCCCTTCATTATTCTTAGCCATGTTTATATTATGCCCCTATGCAAAGTTGTCTTACCTGATAAGCTACTCGAAGGAGGTGCTGATGGAGTGCATCACTGCTTGGTGGCATGTGGTCAAAGTCTTTTCCTTTGTGGAAGAAGAGGGAGAGTCGCGCAGCATCCACAGTTGTGATGTTGTCCTCAGATACACCATAGAGCATCAGGACAAATCTCTGGAGGGTGGGTGTGTGGGTTCTGATCATCTCAGTGGTGGGGGTTGGGCCAGAGAGCAGCTGAAGTGGTAAGGTGAGCTCAGGCAGGGACTGCCACACAGACCAGGCTGTTTTCTTGCCTTTGCCAAAGAATGCAGAGGTAGTGTCACACCCCGTTAGGGCATGAAATGCTGGCAGTGCCATTGCCTTGGATGGTCCAAGACTGTGAGCAATGGCATGTGCTGGAATGTACCTGGAAAGGGGAAAAATAGTTATTGATTGGTCTACTGAAATAAGAGCTAATAGAATAAATACATCTTAGTGAAATGTTCTATACCTGAAGTGGCGCCGTACACCAAAGGCAATCCAGAGTTTGTCGATCTTCTGTCCAAGGTCGACAAAGGTGGCAATGGCCAGTACAACAACATCACTATCACTGCTGCGGACAATCACTCGACGATGTCCAGCAACAGTAGCGGCAGCCACATGCAGGAAAATCCGTGTATCGGCTTCCTCATGTGTGCAAGGGGCCAGTGCATCAGTGTCAATGCCAGCTGGTGAACTTACACAGTCCTCAAGCATAGTGGTGAAGAGCTCCTTGCCCTGGAACAAGAAAGATAGGATATCTGAATGTCACTGAGGATATGCCAGTGAAGTCAGTTGTATTGACTACAGCATGTAACAGAACAGTTTAAGAAATAAATGGACCATAAAAACAGCAGTGGATGGCTCCTCTAAGATCCTTCGCTCCTACAGCCATCAGGCTGTCTAATTCTTCAATAATTTACAGAAGAGCTAACAGACTAGTTGAATTTCCCCTCTGGGATAAATAAAGTCATTTTGAATTTGAATTTGAATTTTTTGAATACCTGTGGAAGTGTCATGAGCTTCAAGCTTTTGGCTAGCTCCATGAACAACTCCTGCTTGTTCAGATCCACTCGTAGGAAGGAAGCCCAGTTGCCAGGAACTTTGGTTGAGAGAGTAACCCTCCTTCTTGCACCAGTGCCTCTTTGCTCCCGAGTTCCGGACTTCAAACTTGTCTTAGAGTACACATCCCAGACAATGTCAACGCGGTCATTTCTTTCAAACCAGGAATGGATGTATGGTGCAAACACATCTGTGAAATATTGTCCAATGGTCACAGCACTTCCAGGACGAAGCATCTGAACAAGGACAGCACCATCCAGCACAGCTGCAGTTGTCACAGGTCTGTGGTTGTCTAAATTTCTGGGGACAATGCAATCTAGAATCTCACTCTTGTTTCCGTGATGCATTTTTCCCTTCCGAGTGAGTGAAGGTGGATGGGGAGAACTTTCATGTGAGAACACTCCCTCATCAATTTTGCGACCAGAATGAACAGCCAGCAAAAGTTGGGTCATTTTTGCTTGTTGGTCCTTGACCACAGCCACCTCTGATTTGTTGCATCGTTGGGAAATTGGAGCCTTGAACAACTTCAGCCTGGTGAGTGGTATTGGAGCTGTGAATGCCTCCTCCTGTGACCTCACTCGCTTGTCAACAAATACTGTGTATCTTTTCATTCCAATGTTCTTCGCTTCCCTTACACTGTCTACCACATCTGGGGGCATGACGATTGATTCATCTAAGTCCAGCAGATCCCCACTATCCTCCATGAAGGGATTTCCCAGATCCTCAAAGGCATCCACCAGTGCCAGTACATCAGTCTGAAAATAAAATGATAAAAACAAATTACAAATCATTCATACTACTGAAATGCATAGTTATCTCTCAATTTCGAAAACAACAGAAACGTACCTTATAGTCATCTTGAAATTTTGGGTATTGTTCATGGTGCCTCCGTTCATCTGATTCCTTTGATCCCTCGAATTCTCGGACTAGGCGTGCCAGCTCAGGGCGAACAACCTGCTCTCGGCGAACTGTGTCTGGGTCGTCCAGGTTCTCTATGACACCACCATGATTCTTGAGCCAATCAATTAGTTGCTCATGCATCTGGTCATGGGGGATCTTGGAGAACGCTCGTCTCGACTTCTGCCCCATGAAGTGACCACTCTGGAACTCCACAAACAGAGCAGGATGTCGTTCTTCTAATGTAGCCATATCACGGAGATGGATGGGTAGGTTCCGGGCATAGTTCGTATGATCCAGTGCAAATACCCATGGCATCAGAGAGTCAAGTGTCTCCATGTAGAGGGAGAAGTCTGCTGAGCGACAGGACTTGACAAACTGAAAAAACAAATAATATTTATATGAAATACTAGGTAAAGGAGCTTTAATCTTGACTTAAGAATATGAATTGGATAAAGGACTGAATGAAACACACAATTCGAACATATCTTACCTGAAGAATGAGAAGATCCAGCTCCATGGACTTGAACCAGAAATCTGCTTGGGGCTGTGAGGCACAAAGCGTCTTGAGCCATTCATCAAAAGGCTGAGTGATGAGATCGCTCGGCTCATCATTGTCATTTTTTGCCTTCTTCATGTACTTATCATAAGCCTTCTTCATAAGCACATAGAGAGCAGCTACAGACACCTGATGCATGTATCGGGTTCTGCATATGTGGTGAACACTAATGAAGGCCTGAGCTTTGCCACTAGTCGAGATGCCACTATTGATAAGAGCTGTGGTCCACCCGCTGCCATCCAGCCAGTCACCAGACACGCTCCACAGCATCTTTTCGGTATGCATTGGGCCCAGTGTTACCAGGAAGGAATCCTCGCCAAGCTCGGTCTGAGGAAACTTCCACTGAAGTTTCTTGGCCAGTGTGAAGAGTGGTTGATCAGCTACCATGACTGGTGTCTGACCTGGATTGAGGTAGCTGATTGTTTGTCTGAGGACTTTCATTGCATGCCAAGCCATAGTGGGGCTGGTAGAGGGCTCTGTGAACAGTGGCAACATGTATGATTTGGATGGGGGAGGTGAAGTAGCCTCTGTGATGCTGGCATAATATGCAGCCCATGAGATCCATTCCCCGGCTTCAAGGTTCTCTTTCACGAGAATGTTTCTGACTCTCTCTAACCACTGGTAGCCTTCTTCAATTACATTGATGAGAGGACGGGAGGCTGGATGAGGATGGCTGTTGGTATTCAGGGCAGGAACATACAAGACCTCATCAGTTGGCAGTGATACCTCCAGATCCATGGTTGTGTAGTGAGGTGGCAAGGATTTCACATGCTTCTTCCCCATTTCAGCTGGATCTAGGATGTCAGTCAGATTCTCAGTCTGTTGGCTGTCTGAAGAGAAGTGCTGTTGAATGCTGATGCATGTTCCATGGAGGGCTGATGTTGCTATTGTCGATGATGGGTTGTGGTCAATGTTATCAAAACCACCAATGGTGAAGACACCCTTGACTGCCTGAGGTGGGACCACGACACCAATCTGCTCCCAGTGACTGATCACTGAATTCGCTATATCTATGCTAAATGTTTTCAAGCGGTCATATGACATACACATTCCTCTTTTATGCATGGCCTCCACCAGATATCTACTACCACTTTGCTGGTGTAGTTTCATTGCCAGATATAGCGAAGCTGGTGTTTCCCTCTCTCTTATGTGACGAGGAACACTGCCATGTTTCTTGGATCTGCATCTTACAGAGTTGAAAATTATTTGCTGCCCAATGGATGTTGCAGCCTGGGACTTCTCAGGTCCAGGAGGTGGCTGATCAATACCTGATCCATCAAGAAGCATGTGTAAGAACGATCTCAGCATGGGAGGGATAGAATCAGCTTCACAGGAAGTTGAGAAGGTACCTGTAAAAGCATGCTTCATGGGGAGATACTCTTGCCGGAGGATTTTGGCTGCTTTGAAGATGATGGAGACATCGGTAGAAGTGTTGTTTTTCATGTCAGCAACAGCTTTGCTCAGGTCATCATCAAATACAAGGGACCAGACACGATTTATTTGTACTGATCTGATGTCAGGAATCAGGCGTTCAATATCCTCCCGAAGGCGTGTGGTGTTGCATTTGATGTTTGGGAATCCAAGATCAGCAATGCGCTCGTCATAGAGGGCTGTCAAGTCAGACATTGCCAGTGATTCCCCTGAGCAACGATAGTCCTCGATGTATTCAAGCAACTCATTGAGGACATGTGCTCTGATGACCTGAGTTGCATTACTTTCAGTTGAGTCACATCCAACAGTTTCTGCTTTTCTATAGAGCCTAGTCAGGCATGCACGATGATAAACAGCATTAATAGCAACCATGTCACCAGCAGCTAGTTCAGCCAATAGATGCCTGTCACCCACCACCTGAGCACATTCTTTTACTTTTCTATCCAAGCCAAGGGTGGCAGCCCTCCTCAGTTCCTTTTTTTGGCCCACTTCACCACAGAAGAGACACGGTGTATCGAATGGTTCACATGATGATGTTGAGGATCTGGGTAAAGGGAGTGTGGTGGACTTGTCACTCATGCGCCGTGTTTTTACTGGGCTCACAGACTCTTCATGCTTTTTTCTTTTTCTTGCTCTCTCAACTTTTTGTTTATCAATGGCATTTCTGCAGCTTTTGTGCCACACCATAGGATTTTGAATCATCAGCTGAACTACATCCTGACTACCACCACTAATGTCCACTATAAACTCAGGCAGATCCCCTAATGCCTTCAGCTCTTGGATGTTATCTACAGCTTCTTTGTAACATGATTGCAATCTTTCAGGATTGTTTCTCAGTTTGAATGATGAAGAGGGATCTAATGTTTTTTCAATCTGTAGGGCGGACTGACATAGGAAGCATAAACTCCAGTCACGGCATTCCATTATGGCTAATCTGAAAAAAGAAATGAAGTTGCTTTAACGTCATGAGATAGATAATATGAGCATTAACAAGCATTCGCAAAAGTAAAAATCTATCAAATAATGAAGCTAACTAACTAGCTAGCAACATGTAGGCTATGTGCTTGCTACAATAAAAATGAGGCTAACTAGGCACTAGCTAGTTATAATGAAGCTCACTAGTTACTAACTAGCTAGTTATGATAAAGCTAACTAGTTACTAGCGACCTAGTTATAATGAAGCTTACTAGTTACTAGCTAGCTAGTTATGATTAAGCTAACTAGTTACTAGCGACCTAGTTATAATGAAGCTTACTAGTTACTAGCTAGCTAGTTATGATAAAGCTAACTAGTTACTAGCGACCTAATTATAATGAAGCTTACTAGTTACTAGCTAGCTAGTTATGATTAAGCTAACTAGTTACTAGTGACCTAGTTATAATGAAGCTTACTAGTTACTAGCTAGCTAGTTATGATTAAGCTAACTAGTTACTAGCGACCTAGTTATAATGAAGCTTACTAATAACTAGCTAGCTAGTTATTAGTTATCTAACATTAAAAACATTTTTCTGTTTAATGAGAAAGTCATACGAACCTCAAAGTGTTAACCTGTCACCTCTGTCCTTCAACAGCTGTCACAGCTGTCACAGCCCCTGGTGCAGATGGGATGTGTTGTTGCAGGAACTGATTTGCTATAGGCTACTCCTGACTGGTCGTAATCTCATGTTACTTAGGACAAATGTAATGTACAGAAGTAGCTGTACTGCTTAAATACAAAATTAAAGTTTTTGAAGGAATAGATAAGTAAAGTCACTCTGATGACACAATTTGTATGTGAAATGTGCATATTTACCCCCAATTGTCATGGTATGGGGAAAATTGTTGGTTTTTTAAACTTGAAACCAATTTTATTGGATTCCTTGATCCCAAAAATGTACACTTTGACACCAAATTTGTCATTATAGCGATAACAGAAGCAAAGATATGGGCTCTAGAGTATTTTCGGCGCATTGGCGGCCATTTTTGAAAAAACTTGTTTATTTCTGATACAAAGTGTGATCTCACTTGTGTCTTAGGATAAATTTATTTGTATGACCCTAAGGTACTTCCATACCAAAGGCGACCTTTGCATCATGACTTGAAGTCAAAGGCCTATTTTTTGGGCTTAACCTCCCTACTATTAAAGGCGGAGCCCGCGCACGGGGGCAATTGCATACGTCGAATTATCGAACGATTGAATTTTGTGCACATTTCCATGAGCTTCAAGCATGCTGCGACTTCCAAATGTGCAGTCAAACCCGGAGCAAATAATAGTAGTAATAATAATTATTATAATAATTCCTAGAGATACAATAGGGCCTCCCAGCGATTGCTAGCTCGATCCCTAATAATAATTCCTAGAGATACACAGGGCTATTCAATTAATTTGGAATTGGGGCCAGTTCATGAAATAAGGGGCTGGAGAATATGAGTAATTATGGTAACAAAGAAATTACAACATACTGAAGGAGTCAATATATTCTATTTTGTAAATGCAGAACAACATATGCACATTGTGATGCACTAAGACACATAGCCCAAAGCATTGTTACATTCAAATGACAATACAATGTTGAAAAATCAGAGACACAGACAATTAGAGAAATGCAATTAACTAACAGAAAACATCCACTTAATTGCACATAACTGTACCAACTTTACACCTCGTTCTCCTCAACTGATAATGAGGAGATACATTTCAGTGTTACAAGTAAAGAGGGAAATAATTCTCAGAAACATCAAACTGTCCCCCTTCTCCACTGGCTAAAAACAGAAATACAGCTAAATGGTAACTGAATACAACTCACACTTTTTTCCTTCTAAAAAAATAAAATAGACTGCCCCATAAATCCACACATGGACTACTACTGTACTCACTTTTATCATAACATATCAGTTCTTTAGAATTTCATTAATTTAACTAACAAACAACTTCAATTCCAAGTGCACCAACAAAAATAAAACCAAAGTGCATGGTATGGTACAGAATAGAATTAAACATCATAACAGTGCATGGCACTTTATCAAGGCAAAACATTTCAAACTGCATTCAACAATAATACCACATCAAGAAAAACATTAAGTGCATAATATGGGGTGAATAACATGTTAATTGTATCATACTGTTCAAAAATCAATCCTCATTTCTTGCTTGACTTACGCGCTTGTTACCTCGCATGTAGTTTGCCAACATCTGCCATCTAATAAGAGAAATGGCATTTTTTTGACTTGGCAAGAGCAGTGAAGTCAGGTGTATATGTTGTCAGGGCAATGCACGAGCAGATGCTGTTCAGAGGGATATGCGATTGTGAGTTGACTGACATCACCTCCGTAATTTGCAGGCCAGATTTCCTCAATGTGGGGAAATGGAGCATCTTGCCAGGACAAAGATCAGCAGAGAAGAGTGAGAGCTTTCTTTGAAAAGCATTAAGTTTCTCCACAAGTTCTGCGACTGTTTTATCTCTGCCCTGCAAATCCATGTTGAGTTGGTTCAAATGATGGAAAACGTCGCTCAAAAAGCAAACAGCGGCATTAAACTCATCATTTTCCATCAGAGACAGAAACTTGCCAGCTTTTTTCAATTTTGAAGACCGGAGAAACACCAGAATCTCCTCTTAGTTCACAAAAAAGTTTCAAAGTGTTTCCTTTGCTAAGCCATCTAATGTCATTGTGAATGAGCAAATCTTTATATTCAGCAGACATATCAGCCTACAGCTTGCGGAAAAGGCGGTGCTGTAAACTGGAGGTACAATGGATGAAGTTTATAATTGCCATGACAGAGTCCATGGTCTCTTTTAACTCACCACTGAGCTTGGCACACAGGAGGCTTTGGTGGATGAGGCAATGCAGAGATCTCACCTGCGGAGCCGCAGCTGCCATCCTCCTTGACGAGCCCCTGATCCCTGCCCGCCATCGAGGGCACACCACCCGTCACCAACATGTTGACGCGCGCCAAATCCAAGTTGTTCTCTTCAAAGAATGAAGCAATTTTGGTGAAGAGAATCTCACCGGTAGTGTGCCCCTCCATGGGAATTAGTCCAAGCAGATCCTCACGAAAACATTCCATCAAAAAATCGCACATAGAGGCACAGCTGTGCAACGTCACTGTTATCAGTCGAATCATCCACAGCCAAAGACATCACCTCGGCCTTCCTCAGCTTGTCCAAAAGCGTCTAGAAAACGTCCAATGCAAGGGACTCGACTCTCCTCATATTTGACGTGTCAGAAATTGGAATTTGCTTGATCGCATCGATAATGTTTTTTCGGGTTCTCATCTGTTACCACCTCCTCAATGGATGCCAGCATACACTCCTTGACTGTCTCTGAGTCTGTAAACGGCTTTTTCTTTTTCCCCAATATCTATGCCACTTGTAACGATGCCGCAGTTGCTCTCTTTTGATCTGTACAGGCCCGAAACAAAATGCGACGTCTTTGCTCATAACAAGATGTAAGCCCTGTTATCTTCTGCCTCCGAGCAGCAGAGCCCCGTGGGAAAGTAGCATAAAAGTTAGCATGCGTTGTCTTGAAATGCCCTTCTCAAATTATACTCTTCGCACACGGCGAGGCACTCGCAGATTAAGCACACAGGATTCGCATCAACGGCAATAAACGCGTATTTCTCTGTCCATTCATTGTTGAACTGCCTGTTCTCTGAGTCAGCTTTTCTTTTTTTCTTGTTAGCCAAACTTCTTGCTTGGCTTGAAAGAAAGTCAGAGCAGCTAGAGCGCAACACTAGAGCGCGAATGGGTGACTTTAATTGGTCATGTGTGGTCCCCCAAAATATGTCTGGCCGAAACAGGTAGATATTCTACCTGTTTTGCCAAAATGGCTTAAAGGGGTGCATACCGCCTCCTACTGCACGAAAGAATGCACAATTAACCATAGTCATGCGCTGAATGAGACTACCCATATGTAATAACTTCACTTCACTCCAAGGGCCGCTACAAAATCCCTCAGGGGCCGCCAATTGAATAGCCCAGCACTAGGGCCTCCCAGCAGTCACTTCCTCGGTCCCTAATTAAAGCTGCAAGCAGCGTTGGACGTTGGACGGGACCTCGCACTCCACGCAACTCACGCAAATTGAGATGTACACTGAAGTTGTGAGGACGTGTTCAGGGTGGGACTGTTACAGAATATGTGAAGTTTAGTGGACATTGTACAGTTAAGTTATGAGTTCTACCTGTTTTATGGCCAAGCGGCGGAATTCGACACGTCTTCACGGGCGCGCTGTTTTACGTAAATGGTAATGGTAAATGGACCTGTACTTGTATAGCGCTTTTACACTACGTGCCACATTCACCCTTTCACACACATTCACTCAGTGATGGCAAAGCCCATCGAACAGAAACTAACATTCATACATTCATACATACGGCATCGGGAGCAATTTGGGGTTCAGTATCTTGCTCAAGGATACTTCGACATGCCGGGGATCGAACCCACAACCTTCCGATTAAGGAACGACCCGCTCTGCCTCTGAGCCACAGCCGCCCTTACGTCTGCCCTACGTGCAGTCATAAATAGCACAACTTTTAATCAGCAATGTTTTTTGACTGTACTGACCAATTTTGAAGTAGATCCGATAAATTCCCTAGGAGGAGTTTGTTTCAAATACAAGGCGAAAAGTTTGCAGAAAATGAAAATCAAAATGGGCGACTTCCCGTGGGGTTTAGGGTATGGATCCAAGAGGCTTTTCTGTACGTCTCGGCACATTACACGTGCCTACCGAGTTTCATACATATCGGTGAAATGTGCCGCAGGGGCTGCTTTGTTGAAATACTGTCGGGGGCGCAGTTTTTGGTATGTGAGCTACAGGCACCGGTCTACACGTGCCCTGTGAATTTCATATTCATAACTATTACGGTGTCTGCACAGTGATTTACCCTGCCACCAGAGCGCCACCTGGTGGCGGATTGTTGACACATTTTTAAGCGAGCCTCAGGGAGCCATAGGCAATCATCGTACCAAGTTTGGTTCTAATCACACGTGCCGATGTGGAGATATAAACTTTTTAAAGAGCGCCACCTTGTGGCGATGGCCTGAAATTGTGCACAATGCCTTTTTTAAGACTTTCTCTATGTACACAAAAAGCCTATTCTCTCAAATATTGTTCACAAATCTGTCAAAATCTGTGTTAGTGAACACTTCTCCTCTGCCAAGATAATCTATCCACCTCACAGGTGTGGCATATCAAGATGCTGATCAGACAGCATGGGTATTGCACAGGTGTAACTTATGCTGGCCACAATAAAAGGCCACTCGAAAATGTGCAGTTCCATCACACAGCACAGTGCCACAGATGTCGCAAGTTTTGAGGGAGCGTGCAATTGGCATGCTGACAGCAGGAATGTCCACCAGAGCTGTTGCCCGTGAATTGAATGTTCATTTCTCTACCATAAGCTGTCTCCAAAGGCGTTTCAGAGAATTTGGCAGTACATCCAACAGGCCTCACAACCGCAGACCACGTGTAACCCAGGACCACGTGTAACCCAGGACGTCCACATCCAGCATCTTCACCTCCAAAAACGTCTGAGACCAGCCACCTGGACAGCTGCTGCAACAATTGGTTTGCATAACCAAAGAATTTCTGCACAAACTGTCAGGAGCCGTCTCAGGGAAGCTCATCTGCATGCTCGTTGTCCTCATCAGGGTCTCAACCTGACTGCAGGTCGTCGTCGTAACCGACTTGAGTGGGCAAGTGCTCACATTCGATGGTGTCTGGCACTTTGGAGAGGTGTTCTCTTCACAGATGAATCCCGGTTTTCACTGCACAGGGAAGATGGCAGTCGTGTGGGGAGCGGTTTGCTGATGTCAATGTTGTGTATCGAGTGGCCCATGGTGGCGGTGGGGTTATGGTATGGACAGGCGTGTGATATGGACAACGAACACAGGTGCATTTTATTGATGGCATTTTGAATGCACAGAGATACCGTGACAAGATCCTGAGGCCCATTGTTGTGCCATTCATCCATGACCATCACCTCATGTTGCAGCATGTTGCAAGGAGCAGTACACAATTCCTGGAAGCTGAAAACATCCCAGTTCTTGCATGGCCAGCATACTCACCGATTTTGAGTTCAGCTCATGATGAATGGGGGCTAAAACAAAAGTGTTGCGTTTATAATTTTGTTCAGTGTGTATGTATGTCACATATGTATAGCAGACTGCATGTATTTGTTTTAATGCTTTAAAGAGTTCGGTCTTGACCTGCTCTATTTGAAAAGTGTCCTGAGATAACTTCTGTTATGAATTGGCGCTATACAAATAAAATTGAATTGAATTGAATGTATTTAACAATACCACCCCACTGTAAAGGCTTAATAGGAATTCAGAACCATTTAATTCAGTTAATTATTTAATATTACTAGTATCAACAATAATCTTAAATCAAATATAATTGAATTTTCATGATTCTCTTTTCTCACAATGTTGATGTCCATTACAAAACCACTTGTAGTATGGCAATTGATTAAAAGCTGTGCATAACAATTAGTTAGTTACAGAGGAGAAATATATTTAATTATATATATTTACATTTATATATAATTCCTGTCTGAATGGGGCTTCAGTTTTGCAGTTGTTGAAATGTGTGATTTGTGAGATGATATCACTCTCCTTATCTGACTGTCATGTTGTTCCTTTAATAATAATTGCAAGCCTATGGTTTTCGGTTCGAGTTGTTATTATGGTAAGTGTGTGTTAGTGTGTGTGTTCACTGACCATTCCACTATACGAGTGTCGCAGTAGGACAGCGTGTCCATACAGTAAGGTGCGATGACCGCCACCCTGGGAAGTCTGAGAGAGAGACATTGACAAGAGGGAGGGAGAAAAGAGAGAAAGTCACTGAAAGAGAAAAACAGTAAGAAACGGCTAAACAGAGAGACAAAAAGGTCAACAAAACAAGATGTAGACAGGAAGATAGAGGCAGATGCCAGCTATGTTATTTCATTCTACAAAACTGTAAAGAAAAACGATACCTTTAAGCCTAAAAAAGTACTATTTTAGAAAAGCAAGTCATTGCTCCATCACTTCATTATAGTAGTTTTATAAAGGTAATCGGTGTAAAAGTTGAAATATCAATATTAACATCCGTCCCTGATAGTGTAATTACCATCACCCAGGGTTGTCTAATGAAATTAGAAAAACTGTACTGTTTAAGAGTCTGATGGCCTGGGGGTAGAAACTGTTAGAGTCAGAGACTGTTAGAGAGTACTGGAACAAACCTGCAATAGTAATGAAAAAGTGTGGAAATCCTTTTGATTTTGTTGCATGCTTCGTGTACAGGTATGTGTTTAAACTGACCTTGATTGCATGTGACCTAAGATTTGTACATTGTACACATCTGATGCAAGTTTAATTTTAACTGCCATCGCTAAGTTTCCTGTTCCCATTACTAAAAAGAAGCTGCATAGTTTTCTCTGCTTAGCTGGTTATTACACAGGGTTTTGCTTTAACTTTGCTTCCATTGGGTCCCCCTTGACAGACCTCCTTAGCCCCTCTTAGAGTTTGGTTTGTGAAGAAAGTGCAAGCATGCTTTTCAGACTGTAAAACCTCTTCTTTGGACCTCTCCTGTGCTGTTGGCTCCAGACTGTGCAGTACCATTCAAGTTGGAGGTTGCTGTGAGTGGTACTTGGGATAATGCTGTATTGTGTTATTCTATGATAGTGTGTGTTCCAGGCGTAGCTCACTGATCACTGATGGATCACTAAAGAGCTGAATGGCGTTAGACCAGTGGCACTGATATTGCTCATTTGAAAGGCTGGTCAAAACGAAACTACTGGAAATGGTGGGGGAGGCTCTGGACACCATGCGGTTGCATATAGGGCAGATGGGAGTAGAGAATGTCTTAATCAAATTAAACTTAACTGATGTAAATTGTATGGGAAAGGTGTGAGAACACACAGTGCATCGCAGTTTGTTGCGTATTGGGCTGCGTAGCCACAGATCAGTCAGGGTGCCCACGCTGACCCCTGTCCACTGCCGAAAGCGCCTACAATGGGCATGTGAGCGTCAGAACTGTACCATGGAGCAAAGGAAGACGGTGGCCTGGTCTGTTAAATCACGTATTCTTTTACATCTTGTGGATGGCCAGGTGCACTTACATGGGGAACACATGGCACCAGGATGCACTATGGAAAGAAGGCAAGCTGGTGGAGACAGCGTGATGCTTTGGGCAATGTTGGGAAACCTTGGCTCCTGCCATTCATGTGGATGTTACTTTGACAAATATCACCTACCTAAGCATTGTTGCAGACCATGTACTCTCTTTCATGGAAATGGTATTCCCTGATGGAAGAGGCCTCTTTCAGCAGGATATTGCGCCATGCCACAAAGCAAAAATGTTTTGAGGAACACGAGTTCAAGGTGTTGACTCCTCCTCAGATCTCAATCTAATCGAGCATCTGTGGGATGTGCTGGACAAACAAGTCAGGTCCATGGAGGCCTCACAACTTACAGGACTTAAAGGATCTACTTCTAACGTGCTGGTGCCCTATACCACAGAACACCTTCAGAGTCCATGCCTCGACGGGTCATGGCTGTTTTGGCGGGAAAAGAGGGGCCTACACAAAATTAGGCAGGTGGTCATAATGTTATGGTTGATCAGTGTATAAGTGCAAAATCTTTGATTGTACCATGTACAGGAACTGGAGTCTTATTTTCTGACTGACATTGTCTTCTTAGCAGAGTTCCCCTGTGTCTGTTGGTCCTGCACTGCAGTCATTCTGCCCAACTCCTAGTGAACACACAGAGTTGTGCAGGCTTCACAGAGAAAAGCTGCTTCAGTTTCACACACATTAATGAATGTGCGTAAACTGCAATTATAAGATGTACACTGGCTTGAAGAGCAGAAACTGGTTTTCCTTCTCCTTTTATCTTATGTAATTGGTGATTCAATGAATACATAAGATAAGATAAGTTAGTATAATGCATACATTGCATTATATCACTTTAGTAAGCAATGTAGCTTTTGAAGCTCATGAAAATTAAATATTACAACTAAGACATGTAAATCTTTATTTAACATACAGCGAATTAATATCTACCTACAATCAGAAATGTCCTCATTTAGACTTGATGGAAATTCTCTTCTAAAACAAAGCAAAAATACACCTTTGAAATAATTTCAAATTGTTGAATAAACTCTTATATATGGGAATTTTGTTACTCTAAACTAAAACACAAAATGATGTGGCCATCACAACTAGAGGTCAGGTTTCATCAGGAAACCACAGAGTAAAAAAGGGGGCATGATTTGCCCAACATTAAAAGGACCAGTATGCAGGATTTAATAACAACCAAGTTGCAGATTGCAACCAACTAAATACAGCTTGCATTCCAAGTGTTTAAGAGAAACTATGGTGGCTAAATCTTTACAAACACCTCACAAATAGATGGTGCCATTTAAAAAAAAAAAAAAAAAAAAAGGCTCTGTAATATCCTAACAGCTGGCCACAGTAGGTTTTAGCAAACGTTACTCAAACAGGAGGCAATAGTGCATTTGTTGGGGACTATTTTCAATGGTGGATTAATCATCATTAATCACCAGTGTGTATGTTCATAGTAGTGAAGGAACGTATCACCCAGCACAACAGTATGGCTCATTGATGTGTTTTTAATATGTTTTTGGACAACAGTAGAGTAATTGAAAAAAATCTGAGAACATTATACACTACAGCAGACAGCACACATGAACACCAAGGCAACTATATACGGTCAACAACACAGAACTACTGCATGAGAAGAGTTCGACAAGGTTCTGTACTTGGACCAATACTATTTACTTTATATATGCTCCCTTTAGGCAACATTATTAGGAATCACTCCATTAACTTTCATTGCTATGCAGATGATACGCAGTTATACCTATCGATCAAGCCCGATGAATTTAATCAATTATCTAAATTACAAACATGTCTTAAGGACATAAAATCCTGGATGAGCTGCAATTTTCTGATGTTAAACTCAGAAAAAAAAACGAAATTCTTCTACTTGGCCCCAAAAACATTAGAGACTCACTGTCTAAAGATATAGTTACTCTAGATGGTATTACCTTGGCCTCTAGCACCACTGTCAGGAATCTTGGAGTTATCTTTGATCAGGACATGTCATTTAATTCCCACATAAAGCAGACCTCTAGGACTGCCTTCTTTCATTTACGTAATATTAAGACGTTCCTCTTTGATAAAGCTTATAGTTCCATCAGATGAGTCCTGAACCATCCCTTAGTTATGCTGCTGTAGGCATGGGCTGCGTTTCATTAGTCGTTCAACATGCCCTCGGCACTTGCCCTCGGGGGAATCCCCGCCACCATCATAAGTGTCGTTCCAATTGTCTGGAAAACTTGGTGAGATGGACCCTCGGAGGGCTGAGGGAGCGAGTGAACAACGATGGTCACTCCGAGGTGGATATCACCCACAATGCATTGCAGTTTACGTCATTGCCGCTATAACGCCGAGTAAGGGCAAGTGCGTTTCATTTAAATCCCCCGCTCCTCCCCCGCCCACTTTCCTTCCGCACTCCAAGTGGCCTCCGTGCGACGTATGCTGTTACGTCATACCAAGGGCTGAGGGTAAGTGAACGAGGGGAAGTGGAACTACTAATAAAACGCAGCCCTAGACTATCGGGGGATTTCCCATGATGCACTGAGCTCCTCTCTTCCTCTTTCTGCACACATTCATGTCCTATTAATGCATGTTACTAACTTCACTTCTTCCCCGGAGTTCTTGTGCTTTCTCGTCTCGCAGGTTCTCATGGATCCTGGTGGCGCCTCCTGCCATGGTCCTGCTTGACTGCCATTGCTAATATCACTGATATTAGTGTTATTATTAGTATTATTATTGCTAAGGTTACCCTTGTTGCTGCTCGTTGTCCCCCATCGTTGCTGTCGTCGTCGTCGTCGTAGTCATCAGTCACTACTATTAGTGTAGTCAGTCTCTCTGTCTCTCTCCCTCTCTCTCTCCCCCTTCCTCCCTCCCTCCCTCCCCGTTGAGGCAGACGACCACCCACCTAGAGCCGAAGGATCTGTCCTAGGTTTCTGCCTCTTAAAAGGCAGTTTTTCCTTGCCCCTGTCGCCAAGTGCGTACTCATGGTGATACTGTTGGGTCTCTGTAAATGTTATAAGGAGTTCGGTCTAGACCTGCTCTATTTGAAAAGTGTCCTGAGATAACTTCTGTTATGAATTGGTGCTATACAAATAAAATTGAATTGAATTGAATTGTCTGTCTCTACATCAGCTAGCATATCTGTGAATACAGAGGTTCCACATTGATAAGTTCATATCTAAAACCTCCATTGCCTCCAACAGGTTGACACTCAGCAGAGTTGCCATACACGTGTGTTGTTGTTTTCTATTAAGTGCTCATACTGCTGATGCTCATGACAGTGACTGTAATAATGAACAGACGGTGACAACCATGACAAACACAGACAGCGATTGGAGGCACACCTACCCATATTTCCACATCTACATGCTGTGTGGAAATGAGAGAGAGGAGGAAAAAGTAAGTTGCTGTATATCATTTTACAGACAACACATTCATTCATGCACACATCTATCCAACAAATAAGACTGTTGGATGAGGAGGTTAGTGAATATATTCAAGGTCTTGTCCTGAAGTATACCTCCATAATAAGATTTTGTTTGGTTGGGAAGTACACTTGTTTGCTTTCTTTCTGAGTGTGAGATGAGAGGATCAATATCATTTTTATTGTTTCTTTAATCTGTAACCAAACAATAATGAATACAAAAGGATGGTTATTGTCCCAGTCTCATCACCTTTTTTTTCAACCCGATTCGAACCCAGGCTGCTGCTGAGCCTTGACACGTTGTGCACTCTCAACCCAGTGAGCTAGCCCGCGTGCCCCACCGCCCCTGCCTCTTGTCTTTACACTAAGCCCAAAGTGTGGGGCGCGCCCCACTGGTGGGGAATAGAGATGTGACAGGTGGGGCGCGCCAAACGGGAGGTAATTTTCCTTTTTATGCCTTTATATCTTTATCCAGACATTCCAGCTGTCCGGGAAGTTCCGGGAGTCTCCCGCATATGGATAGCGGCTGTGTGTGTGTGTGTGTGTGTGTGACTATAGACCGATCACCCACGGGGGCAACACCAAGTGTAACAGGAATTCCCCACCCCCCCGGAACGAACCTCCCTGAAATGACTTTTTGCAGGTTGGGATGTCTGCTTTATCAATGCCTTTCTTTAATGACAACAAAGATCATACATTCAAAACAAAACACCCACAAACAAAATAATCATTACTAGCCTACATGCAGTCTAAATTAAAAGAACATTAGATATGAGACCCCGAGAAAAATGTTCTTCCCTTTGCCATGTCATATCTCTATGAGATGGGCTTTTCAGCTGTTGCTTCACTGAAAACAAAGTACAGATCTTAGCTGAACATTGAGCATGACTTGAGAGTGGCAGTATCAAGCCTGCAACCCCGCTTTGAGAAATTGTGCAATGCAAAACAGGCTCATTGCAGCCACTAATGCAGGGATAAATAGACCTGTCTTGCCAAATGGATTTCTCTATTTTTCTTTTTTTAACAGATTGCAAAGTGGCACTTTTATTTCTTTTCTATTTTTGAACTTGATACAAATTTTGACACAGCTGCACTTTTATTTTCTCTATTTTTGAATTTCATGCAAGTTATGACACAGCTGCACTTTTATTTTCTTTATTTTTGAACTTGCTGTTATTTGATGTAGATAGTTTGTATTTAGATACAACTTGTTACTATACTGATACTACTTGTTACTTCAATAAATTGGAACGTTTTAAGCTTGGGGCGATGGGGGCAGGTGGGGCGTGAAAATTCCCCTTGTGGAGAATGACCGAAAAAGTTTGAGAACCACTGCACTAAGCAATGCTAACCATCTCCTGGCTATGACTTCATACTGAACGCACAGATACAAGTGTGGTAGAGTTCTTCTGATGAAACAAACAAGAGTAGCCTATTTCCCCAAACGTCAACTTATTCCTATTCCAAAATTTTGTTTATGCTGTTTAGCTTCAAGTGATGAAACTAGCGAGGTAGACAGCTGTTGTTTAGTAAAAGTTGATTTCAGGGAGACTACTACTGAGTCATAGTAATAGTCGTAGTTTGCCATCCTTCACATGCACATTGAATGTAGAATGTAAAGAAATGATGGCATTAAGTTGAATCCTGAATCCTTCATCACCCTGTGACCATTACTATAAAAGGTCACCCTGTGACCATTACTATAAAGGCCCTTTCAGAGCAACAGGAAAAAAATGGAAAAGCTCAATGTCTGTTTAGTCTCTCTGTTGAAACCCAGTTAGGCTAGGTTAGGCAAGGGGTCCACCTCTCTCATTTGTTGCACACACTGCAATGAAATCCAATAACAGTGCAGTGGCCTTTCACATCTGTGCAAGTGAACATAAAAGTAGTATTGTGCTATTTACTGTGTAAGCATGAGAAAATGGTTGCTGCTGTAATTTACTTCTGAGACTTGTTCAGTCACATCTTAAAAGAGTAATAAACTGCAATGGGAATTTGGGCAGATCTGACAACTACCCATTATAAAAAGATGCAAAAAAGACTTCAGATTGAGAATAGAGTGTGAGAGAGCACTTTGCACTTTCCCATCTTTTTAATATACACACACACACACACACACACACACACACACACACACACACACACACACACACACACACACACAGGCCAAGTCTAGTGCACACTGAGGCACTGATTATATCGTTATCATGGCACCTGTCAGTGAATAGGGCATATTAGGCAGTAAGTTAACACTTTCTCCTCAAAGTTGATGTTGATGTGAAAAATGGGCAGCGTGAGAATTTGAGCCACTTTGACAAGGGACACATTGTGATGGCATCTCTGTACTTGTATTATTAGATCTTAGTGCTGCATTTGACACCACTGTCCATAATATTCTTTTACAGAGACTTGAGCATCAAATTGGCATTAAAGGAACTGCATAAAGCTGGTTTATGTCATACTTATCAGATCGTTATCAGTTTGTACACATTAACGATGAATCCTCCATAAATACTAAAGTTAGTCATGGAGTTCCACAAGGTTCTGTACTTGGACCAGTTCTATTCACTTTATATATGCTCCATTTTTCCACCCCAAAAATCTCCACCTCCTCCTCCCACCAACCTCTCTCCAGTACAACCACCCCCTTGCACCCCTCCCCTCCTCCCCCCTCTACCAATCACCTCACAGCTGCGGACTGTCACCCCCCAATCACTGCCACAACCAACCCGGTCATCACAAGATGCCAGGTGAGACGGCAGCTCACCAGGACCCGGATAAACAAGGCCAGAGGTCCCGACGACGTCAGCCCGAGAGTCCTTAAGGTGTGCGCGGAGCAACTTCCTGCCAGTTGCTCCGCGCAGCATCTGTTTGACCTCTCCCTGAGGTTGAAGAAGGTGCCAAAGATCTGGAAGACTTCCTGCTTAGTTCCTGTTCCCAAAAAAAAAGACCCAGCGCTCTCAAAGACTTCAGGCCTGTAGTCACATGTTATGAAGACCTTTGAGAGACTGGTTCTGCAGCATCTCAGAACCCTAGTACGCGACTGCCTGGACCCTCTGCAGTTTGCGTACCAGGCCGACATCGGCGTAGATGATGCCATCATCTTCCTGCTTCACAGAGCTTACACCCACCTGTAGAAGTCACAGACCACCGTGAGGATCATGTTCTTCGACTTTTCCAGTGCCTTTGACACCATCCAGCCTCTCCGGCTGGCAGAAAAGCTCTCTGTGATGCAGGTGGATCAGGACCTCGTGGCCTGGATCACTGACTACCTCACTGACAGACCACAGTATGTCAGACTGCACAGCTGCTTGTCAGATGTGGTAACGAGCAGCACTAGTACACCCCAAGAAACTGTATTGTCACCATTCCTGTTCACCCTCTACACCTCTGACTTCTGCTTCAACTCTGGAGTGTGCCACCTACAGAAGTTCTCTGATGACTCCTCCGTTGTCGGCTGTATCTCAGATGATAGGGAGGAGGAGTACAGAGACCTGATTGAGAACTTCATTGGATGGTGTGACAGGATCCACCTACAGCTCAACACAGGAAAAACCAAAGAGCTGGTGGTGGACTTCTGGCGGAGCAAGTGGACCCCCTCCCCAGTTGAGATTAGGGGGGAGAAGGTAGAGATGGTGGAGACCTACAAGTTCCTGGGGGTGACACTCAACAATAAACTGGACTGGACGGATCACACTGAGGCCCTCTACAGGAAAGGATAGATTTAACGTGTGCACTCGGCTACTACAGATGTTCTACCAGTCTGTGGTGGCCACTGGCCAGTGTCCTCTTCTTTGCGGTGGTCTGTTGGGGGGGAGGCATCGGCACTGGGGGTGCCAACAAGCTTAGCAAGCTGGTGAGGAAGGCCAGCTCAGTGGTGGGTATGGAGCTGGACAGTGTGGAGGCTGTGACTGAAAATAGGATGAAAGCCATCATGGACAACCCCTCTCATCCTCTCTACACTTAGCTGAGGCAGCTCAGGAGCACTTTCAGCAACAGACTGACCCAGGCCCAAGCCTCAAAGCGGTTTGGAGGCTTGTTTGTACCATCAGCCATCAGACTCCACAACGCCACAGCACCCAGTACCTCCAACCCCCTCAGACAAAGACTGGTTTAAAACTTTACAACGCACAAGCCTTTTGCACTATTTATATTTAATTTCCACTTTAGTAGTTTGTTTTTTTTGCACTCCATGTCCTACTTGAACAATGCATAGTGTATATACTTTCATTTATAGTTTTATATCTTCTAATATTAATAATATTAGTAATATTTTTATTGTGATATTCTTTGTTCTCTGTTTTGCACTACTTTGCCCTATTGCTGCTGTGTCAACCTGAATTTCTCCTAAGGGGGATAAATAAAGGAATATCTTATCTTATCTTATCTTATTTTATAGTGGCTGTGTGGACAGTCCATACAGTGACAAAAAATTGGAAGTACATAGATGTTGGCATAGACCTTATGCGTCATAAACCGTAAAATGTACGTCAGACGGACCCTAGTGGACCCTTGCATAATCATAGTAAAGTATAATTCTGGTTTGAATGTAACCAAGTCTATTAAATTGCTTAACCTTACACTCAACAACTGTAAATGGGTCATAAAACATGTGTTAGATAAGGCTAATCTAGCAGATTCACACAGCCAACACCTTGGTCCTTCTTCCTTTGTTCCTTATCCTCAGACTTCACCCATGGCTGCTTAACCAAGTTTAGCCTGTTGTAACACTGATGTGTCCAATTGGACACTATTAACCAATATAGAGGACATCCCATTAGTGACTGTCAATATTTAAATATAATAAAATTCTCACTGATCTAAAGCAAATTTCATTTTAATAAAAGGTATTGCTATAACTGCCTTGTAAACTATGGCTGCACTATTTTTGGTTGTGATGGCATGCCACTTCTTATGTAACAGTAAGGGTCTGTATGTTGTTTTGTATGCCGACTGTGTGGGTATGACATTGATTGTCTATCTGTTGATAATCAAGCAGCAGTAAGTTTATCTTTTTGAGATGTTAGACAATCAGGTTCACCTCAAACTTTTGCAATATGCCTGGCTTACAAATGAACAACATGCACACGCACGCACGCACACACGCACACACACACACACACACACACACACACACAAACACAGATTCCTTTAAAACACACATTCACCTGAACTGTGTACACAAATCTTTCTGTATATGATTATTTTACTCACAACCCGTTCATAGTCAATGAAGCAAGCCACTGACTACCAGGAAATGCGCAAGTGGCAGGGACATTTTTAATATATCACTGTCACAGAAGAGCCTTCCCACCTGCTTCTAGACAGCCACCATCATCCCTGTATGTAAATTGACTTTTTGTGGTGGTCAAACCTCCTCCACTCTTGTGCATAGCACCGGAGCCCCTTAGGGCTGTGTGCTCAGCCACCTCTGGTTAAGAAAGAACAGAAATTAATCTATTTCTTAAGGAAACTTAGGAAAGCAAAATTCTAGTACTAAGTTCTTGTTAACTTTTACTGAGGAGTGACAGAAAGCATCCTGGCTGGAAACACAAACTGACATGGGATGTGCACGGCCCAGGACGGGAGGACTCTGTACAGGTGATGTTGTCTCCTAAACAAACAGTTTCAAGTATAGCTGATCAAATCTCTAGCTATGTATTCTGGGTCTGTTACTGAAAAATATAATTGATGAATGAAAGAGGTTTTAGGTCCATCTGGCTACAAACGGAGGATGTAGAATAATATCAAACACAAATTGTCAAGCCAATACTGTTTTATCGAATTGATTGAGTGACAAAATGGCTACATCTGAATGAGTCCTGTCTGGCCTTAATAGAGGGATGGTCTGACTAAATTTGTACTGGCCCCTGCTTTAATGAATTGGTAGATTCAGATGTAAGTGGTATACTCAAGGTACTTTTTTTTTCGTCAGGCTGGTGTCTCAGCCTGTCAGTCTAACCTAAAGAAAGCCCTGATCTGAGATCAACCTACTGTGAATTCATTCATCTCCCCTTCCCTGTCATGTGTGTGTTTTGATGAATGTGTCTCTCGACACTCACCCCCTCAGCCTTCTCCTCGGTGTTGGCCAGCATCTCCTGAAGGGCTCGTACCGACAACGACTGCTCCAACACAAAAGTGCAGATGGACAGATCTGGAGGCACATTCTGAAATAACAGGAACACAGATTAGATGATTTATTGATGTTGACTAACTAGCACTATTTCACACAATATATATATATATATATATATATACACACATACAAAATAAAACCGTATTTAAGATTATTTTCACTAGGATGAGTTATTTTTAAAAATATGGACGCCCTTCCTAGATTATATACCTGCAGATCTGAAAAATCTTATATTAAGGGGCAGACAGTTTTCTGATTGGAATAAGACCTCCCCTCGCCTCCCTCAAATTGAGGGACACAGATAGGCTGCCGATGACTGGTTACCCTCAACTCATGATTACATACTGCGGACTGGAGACAAACTAGTACTGTACTTTTTCATCATATGTCATTATCACTAATATTTTTATTGTATTTTTTTTTTTGTATAACGTGCTGTCTAATGGGTCGGGGTGGGGGGGTTTTGTCTCTGTTATGTATTATCTCTGCTTAAAAACAATAAAATGTGTTTAAAAAAAAAAAAAAAAAAGATTATTTTCACTTTTTATATAAAAAGTGAAAATAATCTTAAATACGGTTTTATTTTGTAAACATTGACCAGCTTTTTTGTGAATGTTCGAACTGCAGTCAACATTTGGTCAAACTGATTCCTGACGGAGGAAGCTGAAGAACCAGTTGGTGAACGATTAGGATTAGTGATGAGCTCTTGAATTAAAATGTTTTATGGTTCTGACTGGGACTAGTTCTGAATAATGAGATGCTCTTGCATTTTAAACTCTATGATTATTTGCAGCATATCTTTAAGTAGTCCTTATAAAAACAATTAAAGAAGATAACAATGTAATCTAGTGTTACTATAAAAATATTACAGAGATGTATAATACAAGCTGTGGACAGTGGACACTGTAGCTAAGTGCTTAAATTTCTTTGGAATCTTGTAGATTGAGTTGATATGGGATTTTGGTACAACAGGGCAAAATTGATTACACTGCAAACAATTGAAATTTGTTTTTTCGATTTTGATATTACCAAAATGGTCTTCCTGTGATCTTGCAAGGCAGCCGGACTCACAAGATCACAGGATCACAGATCACACGATAATCCATTTTGCCAGGCTTCAATCTATGTGTTTGTGGACCAACTACAGTGGTACTGGACCAAACAGCATCCTTTCAGGAAGTACTAGCATATCACCACCACATCTGACAGCAGATAGCAGCAATTATAACCAACCCAATAATAATTTAATATCCCTAGAATGTTCCTATAAGGACTGATGTGTGCCTATTTGTCATGGCAACAGCGACCAATAGTTGTCTCAAATTTTGCGACATTTTTGTTTTAATTTGATGTTTTTTGCCGTTATTATTGAAGTACATATTACTGAAATATGACAGAAATATCATGTCCAATGTTTTCCAATGTTAATGACATTGAAAAAGGAAGTGCAGGGATTGCAGTAAGTGCAGCGTACCTTGAGGCGATTGATAGCCATGGCATCTCCCCATCAGCCAGCCAGAACAGCTGAACTAAACGTCACCACAAGTGATGTGATTGAACCAGGAGTAGAGGAAAGAGAGCTAAGATAAGAGCTAAGCTTGCCACTTTGTTGTGCACCAGTTATTAAGAAGTTGTAGTCTCTACTGCCTGCAAAAAACTAAACTGAGAATATGTTTTATTCCTCCTCAATTGAAAGTATGATAACATTTTCTATTTATTGGCCCTTTGTCAAAAGGACAAGAGCAGACTGCAAGGTGCTAACCACAGCTCTAAAATTAGTGGCAAAATACAAAGATCACTTGTACAGCTTAAAAAGTCAAAGGGTGACAGGCAGCGATTGACAAGCCTTGTAATTAATTTTCAATGAGAGTTGAGCGGGCAGCTAGGGATGCTGGGACCATCTGCCAGGCGTAGGGACAAGTGGGCAAGATCCCACAAAATACTTTATTTTATGTCAATTCAGCCTGAGTGGTAGAATGGGTGGACATAACTACAGATATGACAAATTAAATGAAAAACCATAAAGCAAAAAACATAAAATAAAAATGTCATATTAAGGTGTTGGTTTGGATCTACCTAAATGAGCATAGAAATGATGTGAATCATATGTTTGCCCTTCACATTCAGTGACCCATGTGCCTCTTATGGAGGCATTTGCATTGTTTGTATTTACACTCATTAACTTAACACCTGACTGGCATTCTGTTCACGTGGCTTAAGAGAGTATATAAGAGCTTGTATCAGTACCTTGGAGTTGGAGATGGATTCAAGGAAGCAGAGTCTGTTTCCAAATCCTTCAGCAGCGAGACAGAGTTTCTGTTGCTCCTTATGGATTGTGGCTGAGCACTGCAGGACCACCTCATCATCCTACACACACACACAAAGATAGAGTTATAAGACATTCATTGACTCAGAGTCACTAACAGATTTTCTGTTGTTAATGTAAGTGGTGGCAACCTTATCTTCCTAGAGAAATGATAATTACAAACTATTACTTTCACATCCAGCCCTATGCCCTTAAGCCATATGGCCTGTCGCACTACAACTAATCATTGAGACTACCTACCTATGTACCTACCTACCAACCTACCGACCAATATGTTCTCCTTTCAACAACAGCAAGAAAGTCTTGAATCCAACCAACTGAGTCCAAAAGAGGAAATTCAAATCAAACTGGCAGCATTGAAAATTGAACTACTACTACTACTAGTGTAGTGCTTGGTGGTATACCGGATGAATTGGTATATTATTCCTGTATGATATAAATTTTTCATATGCTGCAATGCAGTTGGATAGCTAAACAACAGTTGTAACCCTTCAATAGGCAGCAGATGTTCGGGGAAAGCTGTATAGCATGTACTATGTGTGAGTGTGGAGCCCTTATTAACTGTGTACTCTTCTTACTATAATAAATAAATAATTATCATGGTTCCCACTCTTTAAGAAATAATTTTCCAAGATATTTACGAATATTTTCTTGAAAATACAAGCCAGCATTTGCTCATAAAAGGTCATATAATTTACCAGTACAGAATACCTGGTATTGACATCTTTAACTCCAGTTTTCACACAGCTTATCTTACCAACAGTCGATTTTCGAATAAAATACAGGTTTTATGTAGGCTCTGTGGGAGGGGGTAAATTAAATCACTTTTGAAAAGAAAGCAAAGTTGTTGGAATATCTTTTTATTTTCAAATTCTGTTTTTAATATGGTGCAGCTTAAATAATAAATATTGTTTGGGGGGGAACAGTGTGAAGACTGTCTTCACACTATAGTTAAAGTAAAATAATAAAAAAAATGAAAACAGAATTGCAGAATCAGGAGACAAGTGGACAGTGGCATTACAACGGAAAAACTAGCAATGTACACTTGCATTGTCACACACACACACACACACACACACACACACACACACACACACACACACACACACACACAGGCCAAGTCTAGTGCACACTGAGGCAGTGTGTCCTAAGCTTCTTGTGGCTTTGATAAGCTTCCTATCAGTCAGTCAGACAGTAATGGCACTACATCTCCTGCATCATTTATTAAAAATTTGTCACAGCAGCTAATCCTGCTGTAACTGATATCTAATCAGCATATGCATCTGTTTGTCTGCCTAATGTCCGTCAAACCCCTACATGGGTATGTGCACTAAAACCCCAGCAGAGACTACATGTGTGACACTGACAGTATAAACAGTTGAAACCAGAAGTTTACATACAATGTATAAAAAGACACTTTTTTTCCTCACTGTCTGACCTGAAATCAGACAATCACTTTTCCTGTTTTAGGTCCGTTAGGATTACCAAAATTATTTCTATTTGCTAAATGCCAGATTAATGAGAGAAGGATTTTTTTTGACAATTTTTTATTACTTTCTTCAAAGTCAGAAGTTTACATACACTAAGATTACTATGCCTTTAAACAATTTGGGAAAGCTCAGATGATGATGTCATGCCCTTGGAAGCTTCTGTTTATTGACAACATTTGAGTTAATTAGAGACATTAGAGAGGATGTATTTTAAGGCACACCTGAAACACACTGCTTCTTTGTGTAACATCATGGGAAAGTCAAAAGAAATCAGCCAATATATCAGGAAGAGTATTGTGGACTTGCACAAGTCTGGTTCATCCTTGGGTGCAATTTCCAGATGCCGAAGGTGCCACGTTCATCTGTTCAAACAATTATACGCAAGTATAAACACCATGGGAATGTCCAGCCATAATACCGCTCAGGAAGGAGACGGGTTCTGTGTCCCAGAGTTGAACGTGCTTTGGTCCGAAATGTGCATATCAACCCAAGAACAAAAGCAAAAGACCTTGTGAAGATGCTGGCTGAAGCTGGTAAGAGTGTGTCGTTATCCACAGTGAAACGAGTACTGTACCAACATGGGCTGAAAGGCCACTCTGCCAGGAGGAAGCCATTACTCCAAAAGAGACATAAAAAAGCCAGATTACAGTTTGCAAATGCACACAGGGACAAAGACCTTAATTTTTGGAGACATTCTTGTGGTCTGACAAAACTAAAATTGAACTGTTTGGCCATAATGACCATCATTACGTTTGGAGGAAAAAGGGGGAAGCTTGCAAGCCTGAGAACACCATCTAAACTGTGAAATACGGGGGTTGCAGCATCATGTTGTGGGGTTGTTTTGCTGCAGGAGGGACTGGTGCACTTCACAAAATAGATGGCATCATGAGGAAAGAACATTATGTGGAAATACTGAAGCAACATCTCAAGACATCAGCCAGGAAGTTAAAGCTTGGGCGCAAATGGGTCTTCCAAATGGACAATGACCCGAAGCATACTGCCAAAATGGTTACAAAGCGGCTTAAGGACAACAAAGTCAATGTTTTGGAGTGGCCATCACAAAGCCCTTATCTCAATCCTATTGAACATTTATGGGCAGAGCTGAAATGGCATGTGCGAGCAAGGCGGCCTACAAACTTTGCTCAGTTACACCAGTTCTGTCAGGAGGAATGGGCCAAAATTCCTGCCAACTATTGTGAGAAAGTTTGTGGAAGGATATCCAAAACGTTTGACCCAAGTCATACAGTTTAAAGGCAATGGTACCAAATACTAATGAATGTAAACTTCTGACTTTCAAGAAAGTAATAAAAACATTGTCTAAAAAATTATCTCATTATTCTGGCATTTAGCAAATAGAAATAATTTTGGTAATCCTAATTGACCTAAAACAGGAAAAATGTAATCTGATTAAATTCAATTCAATTCAATTCAATTCAATTTTATTTGTATAGCGCCAATTCATAACAGAAGTTATCTCAGGACACTTTTCAAATAGAGCAGGTCTAGACCGAACTCTTTAACATTAATTACAGAGACCCAACAGTACCACCATGAGCAAGCACTTGGCGACAAGGGCAAGGAAAAACTGCCTGTTAAAAGGCAGAAACCTAGGACAGATCCTCCGGCTCTAGGTGGGTGGTCGTCTGTCTCGACCAGTTGGGGTGAGAGAGAGAGAGAGAGAGAGAGAGAGAGAGAGAGAGAGAGAGAGAGAGAGAGCGACAGACAGACAGACAGCTGCACAGCAACAACAGTATTGGCAATGGCAGTCAAGCAGGACCATGGCAGGAGGCTCCACCAGGATCCATGAGAACCTGCGAGACTAGAAAGCACAAGAACTCCGGGGAAGAAGTGGAGTTAGTAACATGCATTAAAGGGACATGAATGAGTGCAGAAAGAGAGAGGAAGAGAGTAGCTCAGTGCACCATGGGAAATCCCCCGATAGTCTAGGCCTATAGCAGCATAACTAAGGGATGGTTCAGGACTCACCTGATCCAGCCCTAACTATAAGCTTTATCAAAGAGGAATGTCTTAAGCCTACTCTTGAATGTGGTGAGGGTGTCTGCCTCCCCAACCACAACTGGAAGCTGGTTCCACAGGAGAGGAGCTTGGTAACTGAAGGCTCTGGCTCCTGTTCTACTTTTAGAGACTATAGGAACCACAAGTAGCCCAGCATTCAGAGAACGTAGTGTTCTAGTGGGGTAATAGGGTACTATGAGCTCTTTAAGATATGAAGGGGCCTGACCATGAAGAGCTTTATAGGTGAGGAGGAGGATTTTAAATTCAATTCTACATTTTATAGGGAGCCAATGCAGAGTAGCTAGTACAGGAGAGATGTGATCTCTTTTTCTAGTTCCTGTCAGTACTCGTGCTGCAGCGTTCTGAATTAATTGGAGCGTTTTAATGGACTTATTGGGGCAACCTGATAATAAAGAGTTGCAGTAATCCAGCCTTGAAGTAACAAATGCATGGATTAGTTTTTCTGCATCTGTCTGTGATAGTATGTGTCTAATTTTTCTAATATTACGTAAATGAAAGAAGGCAGTCCTAGAGGTCTGCTTTATGTGGGAGTTAAATGACAAATCCTGATCAAAGATAACTCCAAGATTCCTGACAGTGGTGCTAGAGGCCAAGTTAATGCCATCTAGAGTGACTATATCTTTAGACAATGAGTCTCTGAGGTTTTTGGGGCCAAGAACAAGAATTTCGTTTTTTTCTGAGTTTAACATCAGAAAATTGCAGGTCATCCAGGATTTTATGTCCTTAAGACATGTTTGTAATTTAGATAATTGATTAATTTCATTGGGTTTGATTGATAGATATAACTGCGTATCATCTGCATAACAGTGAAAGTTAATGGAGTGATTCCTAATAATGTTGCCTAAAGGGAGCATATATAAAGTAAATAGTATCGGTCCAAGTACAGAACCTTGTGGAACTCCATGACTAACTTTAGTATTTATGGAGGATTCATCGTTAACATGTACAAACTGAGAACGATCTGATAAGTATGACTTAAACCAGGTTAGGGCAGTTCCTTTAATGCCAATTTGATGCTCAAGTCTCTGTAAAAGAATATCATGGTCAATGGTGTCAAATGCAGCACTAAGATCTAATAATACAAGTACAGAGACAAGTCCATTGTCAGAAGCAGTCAGAAGGTCATTATTAACTTTAACCAGAGCTGTCTCTGTGCTATGATGAGCTCTAAATCCTGACTGAAAATCCTCAAATAAACTATTGTTATGTAGAAAGTCACACAACTCTTTGGCGACTACTTTCTCCAGAATCTTAGAGAGGAACGGGAGGTTAGAAATCGGTCTATAGTTGGCTAAAACCCCTGGGTCAAGAGTGGACTTTTTTAAGAAGGGGTTTAATTACAGCTACTTTAAAGGACTGTGGTACATATCCTGATAATAAAGAAAGATTAATCATATCCAGTAAAGAAGTGCCAATTAAGGGAACAACTTCTTTAAGCAGCCTAGTTGGGATCGGGTCTAACAGACAGGTTGATGGCTTCGATGAAGAAATGATTGAAGTTAACTGATGAAGAT